CTGGAGCAGCAGAAAACAGCCTTTCTCCCTCCTCTATGTGACATCCTTTTATATATTTGAACATGGCTATCATATCACCCCTTAACCTCCTCTTCTCCAGGCTAAACATGCCCAGCTCCCTTAGCCGTTCCTCATAAGGCATCGTTTCCAGGCCTTTGACCATTTTGGTTGCCCTCCTCTGGACAAGTTCCAGTTTGTCAGTGTCCTTCTTGAACTGTGGTGCCCAGAACTGGACACAGTACTCCAGGTGAGGTCTGACCAGAGCAGAATACAGTGGCACTATTACTTCCCTGGATCTAGATGCTATACTCCTATTGATGCAGCCCAGAATTGCATTGGCTTTTTTAGCTGCCGCGTCACACTGTTGGCTCATGTCAAGTTTGTGGTCAACCAAGACTCCTAGATCCTTTTCACATGTACTGCTCTCAAGCCAGGTGTCACCCATCTTGTATTTGTGCCTCTCATTTTTTTTGCCCAAGTGCAATACTTTACATTTCTCCCTGTTAAAATTCATCTTGTTTGTTTTGGCCCAGTTCTCTAATCTGTCAAGGTCGTTTTGAAGTGTGATCCTGTCCTCTGGGGTGTTAGCCACCCCTCCCAGTTTGGTGTCATCTGCAAATTTGATCAGGATGCCCTTGAGTCCATCATCCAAGTCGTTGATAAAGATGTTGAATAAGACCGGGCCCAAGACAGAACCCTGTGGCACCCCACTAGTCACTCTTCTCCAACTTCCATCATTCATAAACAATTAGGAAAGGGGATAGAAACTTGATTCAGTTCACGTTTTAAAGGTAAATCTATCAAATTCAGACTTTTCAGAACAATATGAAAACTGAAAAACACAGCTACCCTTTGGAATTCACACTTATCTGATTTCTGTGGTGCAATAATTCCCCATCCCTAAATTCCCTAAACAGTACAGTGGTACCTCAGGTTACAGACGCTTCAGGTTACAGACTCCACTAATTCAAAAATAGTACCTTGGGTTAAGAACTTTGCTTCAGGATGAGAACAGAAATTGTGCTGCGCTGGCAGCGGGAGGCCCTATTAGCTAAAGTGGTACCTCAGGTTAAGAACAGTTTCAGGTTAAGAATGGGCCTCCAGAACAAATTAAGTTCTTAACCTGAGGTACCACTATAAAACCTGTTAACCAGGGGAACAGTCTGCCTCCAGAGAAAGTTGCATGCTATACTTCACTGCAGGCATTTAAGTAAAGTCTGGATTGTCCTCTTCTAGAATACAACAACTCCCATCAGTTCCAGCTAGCTTGATCCATAGCTAGGGATGATGGGAATTGTAGTTCAGCAACATCTGGATGGCCAAAGTTTTCCCACCCCTGATCTGGTAGATGTTAGATTTCGCACAATTATACGACTGCATAAAACCTCATGTCTTTCCCTCCCCCAATAGTTATCATATTCTGAGGAGGCCTGCAACTTCCACGAGAAGGTTCTGCGCGACGGCTACAACCTCTACTACTCTGAAAGCTACAATATCCCCGTCAGCCTCAGCTCGATGGGGAACCTGCCTCGGAGTCACCAGCTGCCTCCCTTCTCCCAGTTCTTGCCCTTAGTCAACAAGATCCCCCTCGAACCCGTGTTCGTGGACTACGACTTCTACGAACAGGAACTGAACGTTGAGTCGTCCGATCCCCTCAGCATGATGGGCCACAACCCTGGCATCATCAGCCCGAGTTACGTCTTCAAATAACCCGGGACATCCGGTTCCTTGGACACTTTCTTGGACAAGTGGGGTCTCTTGCCGTGTAATTACAACGATGGAACAATTCGACGTTTGGGAGAAACGGAGCAGAAGGAAAGCTTAGCAGATGGCGCTTGGCACCCAGACTCTGATGAGTGACCTTGCAGTACACTGTGGACTCCCGCAACCCAAAGTTGCATCCCACTCATGCGCAAATGATGTGCTGCAGGCACATAAGGAAAACCCAGCAACAACAGAGGCAAAATCCCTGTTTCGTCAGACTAAGATTGCTTGCATTTTCAACCTGTTGTTATTCTTGCCAGCTTTTGGGGGCGGGTTATTTCTATTTTTATTATCTATTTAAGTAACTTATTTATTGTATGTCAGCTTAATTTATTGAAGGAGGCTGGGAAGAGTTGGGAAGCAGAGAAGAGTGGCATAATGAGACAGCTGGCAAGTAACTTATATATTGTTATTTATTTAGAAATATATATATTCTTATTTGCATATTTATTTTCGCTTTCTGGAGAAGGAATGACCGGTAACTTTTAAGGCGGTGGCGTAGACATGCTCAGGACAATCTTGTGCCTTATAGCTCTTTGCTGCTTATTCCGTTCCTCCGCTTCCTTTTTAAGGAACGCCCACAAAGGAGCAGAGCAGAGGAGAAATGAGGTCAATGCCCACCAGGAGCTCTGTAGATCAGGACAGGGCACAGCAGCCAATCATTTGATTCTGAGCATTATCTTGCATTCTCTCTGGAGCTGCTGGTTCCTGTGCAAATATCAAGGACCTGCAGTGTGTGGCTGTTTCCCCCAGCAGAAATGTTAAGAAGCTACTGGTAGCTTGGCCAGATATTAAAGAGATAGGTTTAGAGTGGGTTCCTCATTCATGTTCCTTTACAGGCATGGGCAGTTCCTTCCTCTTGCCAGCACCACCAAACAGGCTTATTTCAATGTAGGGTGGGTTTAGGTAAAGGATCAGGTCACGCCGGCTGTTATTTATTTATTTATTTATTTAAACAAACTTTTCTAACCGCGATTTGCATTTGAAATGTTGACACTTCGCTGTACTTTCCCAACAAGAACGCTTCACGGCAGAACGTGCCCGTGCCCTTTGCGGCACTGCAAAGGGACGTTGATTCTGTCAATGGTTTGCGATATTTTCTTCCCTTGTTACCCGGTTTCCCTGCATCCTGATGCTGAACTGTAACAGTGACCAAAGTGTGATGAGCTATGAACGAATAAAGCATTCCATTTTTTAAAATAAAAAAATATGAGTATTTGGTGGTAAATATATACTATCTCAAACCGTCTAAGAATTCCCATAAAAACTAGGCAGGGCCGGCGCTTGGTGGGCTTCTTGGGGGGAGGCTATTCCATAGCTGTGGTGCCACTACAAAGCAAGCCGTGTCAGAAAACACTCATGAATCCTCATTTATCAGCAGGCGAACCCCAGAGCAGAGCCTCCTAATCTGATCTTAAAAGAAGAGGGAAGTGCATGTAGTGGGAGCCAGACTCTCCAAATGTCCCTATTTTCCAGGGACAGCTCCAGATTTACAGAAGTCATCCCTGTTCCCAGTTTGATCCCAGAATGCCGTGCTTTTACTTAGGACGTCCCTATTTTCATCAGAGAAATGTTGGTGGGTATGGAGTTATGTGACCCCCCGAGCCAAGGCTAACTATACAGTGGTACCTTGGGTTAAGTACTTAATTCATTCTGGAGGTCCATCCTTAACCTGAAACTGTTCTTAACCTGAAGCACCACTTTAGCTAATGGGGCCTCGTGCTTCTGCCACGCCGCCGGAGCACAATTTATGTTCTCCTCCTGAAGCAAAGTTCTTAATCCGAGGTAATATTTCTGGGTTAGCGGCGTCTGTAACCTGAAGCGTATGTAACCTGAAGTGTATGTAACCCGAGGTACCACTGTACAACCTTTAGAAGTTATCCAAAGGCAGCCCTGTATAGGGAAGGTTTTTTTAAATATTCAATTGTTTTAATATATTTTTACATATGTTGGAAGCTGCCCAGAGTGGCTGGGGCAACTCAGTCAGATGGGGAGGGTATACATAATAATAAAATAAATATAATATTGAATAGAGCATCTCTGTTTTCACCGGAGAAATGTTGGAGGGTATGGTGGGAGCAGGTAAATTACTAACCAGGCCCAGACCGTTTAGCATGCTTTGGAATGAGAAGTAAATGGAGAGGCAGCTCAGTGGAGCAAGAATAAGTCTCTGTGGCCCATGAAGAAGTAAGGCAGAGAGTTATAAGGCTAGAATACCAGCCTGAGCTTTCAGTAAGCGTTGAGAGCTGCCATCAGCCACTGATTCTGAATGGGAGGAGTGGCATTGTTCCATTATGGTGGGGGAACCCATTTCATCCATAGCTGTCAACTTACAGATCTGAAAATAAGGGACCAGCAGCCTCGAAAATAAGAGATCAGCAGCCAAAATAGGGATTTTCTGGGCACAGGTATGTTCAACTTCTGAGCCCCTCTGAGCCAAAGGAGAAAGCCCAGCCAGCAGCCAAACAAAGCCTCAAGCCTCAAGGAAAACCACCATCACCTCTCCACTGGAAAGCGCTGAGGAAAGGCGAGTCCTCAGGCAATGCAGCCAATTTGATCAGCACAAGGAATGCAAGCTCCACCCCCCAGTCGTTCTTAGACTTCTTATTGGGTGAGCAATGCAGCCAAGCAACACAGTTGGAGCCTCCCTCCTCCCTGGCCGGCAGGGAAGAAGGGAGAGGAGCTGCTTCCTTTGAAATCCGAGAAATTTAAGGGACATCATCAATAAGGGACAGCAGCGGGACACGGCGCTGGGATAAGGGACTGTCCCACCGAATAAGGGACGCTTGACAGCTATGATTTCATCCCAAGGGCCACATGCCCTTATAGACAACCTTCTGGGGGCCACAGGCCACAGAGGTGGGCAGGGCCAAATTTCAAAGGCACATTCCAGCACTCGAGGAGGGTGAGAAGCAGGACTGGCGGGCAGTGTGGTTGGGAAGGTTGTATAGCCTGGGAAGAGAACTACAGAGGCCTGGAGAGTCTCCATTGGCTCCCAGCTCTGAGTTTCTCCAGCCCTGCTCTAGTCCTTGCCATCTCTGGGATAGGGACCCTTAACGGCTGTGTAGAAGAGGGAGTTCTAGCAGGTGGAGTTTGTCCTACTCTATGGTGAAAACTCTCCCTTCTTTGCATTCAGAGTTGTTGCAAAAAACAAGTTAATGTTGGACCGGCAGGGCCAATAAAGGCTCTCTTTGCTACCTCTTTTGGTTCACTTGCAAGACAGTCGCTGGCCAGAATTCAACACAGACGTGAAACCCATTTATTTCAAATGGCCTCAGGTGAGACACGGCCTTTCTCAAAGCAACTGCAAATGCTAACCAGGCCAGCAAAAAAAGAGAAACACACTTCTGCCATTCACGCGATCACTCATCCTTGGTGGAGAGGAAGTCAGGAGGGGACCCCTGAGCTTGCTGGAGGGTGTGGGGTCTTCCTTCAGTCTCTGATGAACATTGCTTTTAAATTACGGGAAAACACGTGCACACTAACACCAACAATGCACACACCATTACATGCACAAAATCAGCTATTTCCTTGCCTCCCATCTGTTCCCTACTCTCAGTTTGGGTGTATGTGCACAGACAGTTTAAAAGGGATCATTTTTTAGGTGGATGTTACAGTCCTGATTCTCCCAAAAGTAAATTTTATAATATATATATAAAATGAAGCAAGCTGGAGAACAAGCCTCTACAGTGCATTTTTCTACTTTTTGCTACAGAAATTCACACCACAGGGAACATTAATGCAGTCGGGAGTGTGAGTCTTCTTGCAGAGATGCAAGACCGCAGGCATCAACAACACCTAAAGATCAGGGGGGAACACACGGCACCCATCTGAAAAAGAAGAGAGAGAAAGTTCAGAGGACTATCCCAAAAGCAATGTCTGGCTGCACCTTTTGCCTTATGAGCTAATGTGGTGTGGAGGTGAAGAGACCGATCCACAAATCAAGAAGGCCCTGGTTCGAATCACACCACTCCCATGAACTCAGCAAGCACAATCTCTCAGCCTCAGTCCCTCTTACCAGCCATAATGGGTGTGTGTGTGTGTGTGTGTGTGTAACAATACTGACCTACATTAGAGGGGTGTTGTAAGGATTACGACTAGATAATAATTGATGTGAAATGTTCTGAACGCTTGATAGTGTTATGCAAATGTTAATTATCATATTTTGGCTGTGAGTCCTGGAAGACTTGCTCTAGGCCTTTCCCCACCAGGCCTGGGAGGGCTGGGTCCTGACTGGCTACTGAATAGACTCTTAAGTTGGGGTATTGCGGTTTTGTTGGGCAGGGCAGTTGTTATCATTTCCGATATTAATTTTTTGATTATTCATTTTTTCATATCTTTATTTTAGATCTTATTATGATTTATGTGGAAATTGTTTCATTTGCACTTTTTGATGCTTTATTTATTGTTTATGACTACTTCTGCTACTTGTAATTATGTATTTTTTTTCATGTTGTAAGCTGCCTTGAGCATGGTTTTAACTATGGAAAGGCGGCATACAAATAAAAATTTGTATGTATGTATATTTAACTTACAAAACATGTCTATTTATCTATAATTTTTAGATTAAATTTTCTGTTTTACAATTTAGAATACTCATTTAAAATCATTTAGAATACTCATTTAAACATCCTTAAAATATCAATGACTTCCCTTCTTCTCTTTCCATGGTTCATTTTGCATATGGTAAATACCTCCATATTTTACAAAAACTAAACCATTCAGTATTTCATTATTGCATCCATCAAAACTTATTTACACTGTTGAAGAGAGCCAGTGTGGTGTAGTGGTTAAGAGCGGTAGTCACGTAATCTGGTGAACCGGGTTCGCGTCTCCGCTCCTCCACATGCAGCTGCTGGGTGACCTTGGGCCAGTCACACTTCTTTGAAGTCTCTCAGCCCCACTCACCTCACAGAGTGTTTGTTGTGGGGGAGGAAGGGAAAGGAGAATGCTAGCCACTTTGAGACTCCTTAAAGGGAGTGAAAGGCGGGATATCAAATCCAAACTCTTCTTCTTCTTCTTGAATTTATCTTAATGCTGCCAATGTTTTCAAGTGTACACAATCCCCCCCCCCATATATTCAATAAATGTTTTCCCATCTTCTCTAAACATATGTTCTTCTTGTTCTCTTATTCTATATGTTAAGTCTGCAAACTTACGAAGCATGTGGTCTTTTCCTATGCTGGGGAAAGAGGGAAGCTTTGGAAAGAACCTTTTTAAGGCGACATTTTTTAACTCACTTGAAAGGGAATATTTTAAAGGTCTAACAGCCTATATGTCCACACTTTACTTTGCTGCATATTTTAAAGCACAGCTGGGGTTCTCTCACCAGAGTACTTGCCACAAACTTGGATCTTGACATCCAGGAGTTCTCATTTTTCCTTGAAGCAGCACAATCATAGTTGAGTAGGAGATCTTGTGGAACAAACCCAACTCCCCCCACCCCCAAAGATGAGGCAAGTGCCATGAAAATGTACAGGAAACTACGAGGTATCTCTTGCATGGATGCAATATCATGTAACCTACCAGCAAACAAATCCACATGAATGCTCATTAAATGCATCATCTGATTTCCCTGCAAAGTTATGAGGCTGACTGCTGAATAAACAGATCAGCTCGAAGCACTCACTCCCTTTCTTGGTGGGATTGCTCATGATTCCTTGGCTCCTCTGCTTTTTGACCTTGCCCATTGTAACCATGCTTTGAAGATAGCTACCTACTGGCTGGCAAGTACAAAATGCAAGTTTCAGAAGTTGGAATTAGAGAAGAATATGCGAGAAAGACTGTTTTTTGAGCTTGAATGAACAGTGTGGATTTACAATGGTTACAATGAACCATTATTATTATTATTTTTTGGCATATCATGCTTTTCCCCTACAGACAGAACCTATTTGCTGTAGGTGTGGAACACACACCAACATTTGGTGGCAAGAGAACCTAAAGGAGCTGGAAACCATTGCAGCACAGCCAGAGTCTAAATGCAGGCAGCCCCGTACGTTTAAAGTTATTCATCACTTGTAAAATTCCCGTCTTGCGGAACTACGCATGGTTGCTTCCGTGCTAGCCTTGAAGGCTCATTTATCCCCAAAGTGTTTATGCTACTTGATTCCTGAGTCTCTGGGTTTCCTGTTATTTAGTCACGGGGTCATTGCTCAAATGCAAATGGCCTGGATCTTCTCTCATTTCTGTACACCACCTTACGAAGGCTATGCCTGAAAAGTGCAGCACATAAACCCTTTAAATTAAATAAATGTGCCTATTCATATTTACTCATTAGTAAGACCTACTGGGGTCTCAGACTCATAGAAATGTAGAGCTGGAAGGGACCCTGAGGGTCATCTAGTCCAACCCCCTGCAATGGAGGAATCTCAACTGAGGAATCCATGACAGATGGCCATCCAACCTCTGCTTTAAAAACCTCCAAGGAAAGGAGTCTCCTCCACTGCTGAACAGCCCTTACTGTCAGGAAATTTGTCCTGGTGTTTAGACGGAACCTTTTTCCCCATAACTTGAATCCATTGGTTTGTATCCTAGCCTCCGGAGCAGGAGAAAACAAGCTTATTCCATGTGGCAGCCCTACATATAATTGAAGGTGGCTATCATATCACCTCTCAGTCTCCTCTTTCCCAGGCTAAATATCCCCAGCTCCCTCAACCATTTCTCATAAGGCTTGGTTTCCAGACCCTTTTGTCATCTTGGCCACCTGCCTCTGCACACGTTCCAGCTTGTCAATATCCTTCAATGAGGTTCCATGAGGCTTACTCCCAGGACTGCAGCCTTAACGGTATTATAGTTCGTAGTGAACCATTGAAATAGTGCCTGCATGCTTTCTTCTTCCCAAGTCGGATGCACTAGAGACCAAACTTTTTTTTAAAAAAATGAAAGCTGGACTTTGCGGGAGGAGGCCCCACAGAATATCCCCTCTTCCCAACATTTTTATAATAATAACAATACAGTGGTACCTCAGGTTAAGTACTTAATTTGTTCCGGAGGTCCGTACTTAACTTGAAACTGTTCTTAACCTGAAGCACCACTTTAGCTAATGGGGCCTCCTGCTGCTGCCGCCGGAGCACAATTTCTGTTCTCATCCTGAAGCAAAGTTCTTAACCTGAAGAACTATTTCTGGGTTAGCAGAGTCTGTAACCTGAAGCGTATGTAACCTGAAGCATATGTAACCCGAGGTACCACTGTAATAATAATAATAATAATAATAATATGAAAGCTGGACTTTGAGGGGGGAAGCCCCACAGAATATCCCTGAGGGGTAGGCCCCCTCCTCTGGCTGCAGCCCTCCACAGCAATGCTGTCCCTTGTGATTGTAGCCCAATGCATAGCACATGTGTTTGTGTATCCCATACCATCTCCCTTACCTCACACACTGCTCAAGCTTGTCCTGCGGTGGTCTCAAATTTCTTCTTGCGCCCTTCCATGCCGCTCAAAGCGTCAATGTTCTTCCGCCAGTCCCCGACCTCACGATTCTCCTGCAGGAGGACAAACGAGGTTGATTGAGAGAGCCAATCCTCCTCCAATAGGTGGGCCAATGTGTGATAGGTGGAGCCAAAGCCAATGGCAGGCGGAGCCAAATACGTCTAGTCCCTCCTCCTTCTCCCTGCTGAGTTCTACAAGGGCGGCACTGAGAATGAGCAGCAGGAGGAAGCTGGCAAACAGAGCCACCCTCTGGGTTCATTTCAAGTAAGAAGGCAGGACAGGTGGGGACGGGCCAAGGCAGAACGGAGGTTGGTGGGGCAGTGGGCTAGAAGATGCTCCCATAACGCTATTTGAAGGAAGTAAAGGGGTGCGCCTTCCAGGACCTCCTCCTGTAACACCATAATCTAAAATTATCAAGGCACACCACTGCGTGCATGGAATATTCTCCGTGCTTCAGTGACAGGAACGGAAGGAAAGAAAAATGCAGAGGAGGAGGAATCTGGCAAGGGGGTGAGAATAATTAGAGACGAACTGTTGGCAGAGACAATGCAGGTTTGTGAAAATTTATGTCCATCCACGCCAACTGCTGTAACTATCCATGGTACTTAGCTGGTAGTCCCAGCAGTGTGGCCTGAAAGCACACGATACAGTCACGTGGGTCTCGCTGAGTGTGTGTGATATGCCTTTAAAGTATATTCAAAGCACATTTCCACCCTCAAAGAATTCTGGGCAGTATAGCTTGGACTTGATGTGCTTTCGAACTGCTAGGTTGGCAGGAGCTGGGACCGAGCAACAGGAGCTCACCCTGTTGCAGGGATTCGAACCGCCCACCTTCTGATCGGCAAGCCCTGTGCTCAGTGGTTTAGACCACAGCGCCACCCTATTTACATATATGTGTGTGTGTGTGTGTGTGTGTGTGTGCGTGCGTGTATATATATATATACGCGTGTGTGTGCGTGTGTGTGTGTGTGTGTGTGTGTATATATATATATATGTGTGTGTGTGTATGTAAATACATCTAAGACTGCAAAGAAGACTGTTTGCCTGTTTGCGGAAGTCAAATCCTAATAATCTCCCCAGCAACCATTATTTAACAAAATTCATGCAAGGTCTGAACAGCCAGCAACATAGGGTCTCGGTCTCTGTTCTCCTCTCATTAGCACGATCAGACACAAAGGAGGGAAGGAATCCTTTTTTAAAAAAGAACTGTATAGAAGAATATTTTTTGGAAGATGCAGCTGCCTGTCATGCAGGAGTGAAGAAAGCTATTCCTGCCAAAACCTCTCTGTCTCCCTCCCTCCCTCCCTCTCTCACCCACACCCACCCACCACTAGTTGCTGGCAGGGGTGGAGTTAAGGCTGTGTGAGCAGTCTGCATGCACTGGGCACTGAGCCAAGGGGGCGCAGGTAGCAAAGCCCAGTAGGCGAGGTGCTGGCCTTCAGGAAGGAGGCATGAGGCCCTGGCAGGGTCCTAGAGTCCTCCCTGCAGCTTCCCAAAGCCTAGTTAGCACTTTCCCAGCTTGGGGCAATGGGGGGAGGGCTCTAGGACCCTGCCAGAGCCCTCACACCTGCTTTCCAAAGGAGAAAGTAGTGGGCGGGAGAGGGGGCACCCAATTTGGGCTTTGCACAGGGTGCCATAGTACCCAAGTCCACCCCTGGTTGCTGTTCATAGGATCAAAGGAAGCTGCTTCCTGTGCATCAGACTGGCACCGCTCTCCAGGCACCTGCCTAGAGGGTGATCCTGGGAACTTCTGCCTACAATGCACAGGCTCAACCACTGAGTTGCAGCATTTCCAAGCACAGCGGCTGAGGCCATCCCCAGTGCGCAGGAGAGTCTCTGGGGTCTGGGCACTTCCAGGCCGTCAGTTTTTTTGCAGGACAGGTTCAAGCACATACTGAAGCTTCAGGTTTCTTGCCATTAAAGTTGCATGTTTCCCCGTCATCCAAACTACCGTGAAGAGCAGTGGGAGAGGATCAATTTCCCTACATCATGTAACTCTAGAGAACATGGGGGTTTTAAAGACCCCACAACCACTCTCTCTCTCCTCTTCCATCTCCTGCACTTTCCCCTCCTCTACCCACCCCAATCCCACCGGCCTCCTCACCTTCTCGGTGTCGTCTTTTTTGACCTGCTTAAGATTGGCTCGGAGATCCATAGAGACCTTGTGCTTGGAGCCTAGAAGGGCCTGCATCATGGCGTCAGCAGAGAGCCGGACGCGGCGGAGAGCCGGGCGCTTAAACTTGCCTCGCAGGTCAAAAATCTTCTGGTTCAAATCCTGGATCTGGAAAGCAGGGACCAAAAGAGTGTCAACATTTGAAAACTAGAGAAGAGTCACTGCTGTGCTGCCAGCGTGTGCTCCAGCAAGGAGCTGGGTGTGCGTGCTAAAAATTCCTGTGTTCCAGGGTGTTCTCAGATTCTATCACCAATTTTCCCAGCAAGGACTATACACGAGCATCTGCAACTATAAAAGGCTGCTTCAGGTTGTTACAGCCCAGCTGGGATTACAGGGGGGATGTATGCAACCGGTAGCTAAGACTTACCTGCCACGAATTTGTTCAGTCCTCTGATAAAAGTCTGCATAACTGCTTGGAAAATTGAAATGAGCTGAAAGGGAGGGAAATGGCTACAGCAATGGACTGAGGGGAGGTCAGTTGTGGTGGGGGTGACCCCAACTCAGCCCTTACTTATCATGCGAATATAAAAACTGGACCAGCACTGACACCTAGTGGCTACCATCAGTACTTCATTTCCCCCCACTACATTGGAACCTGCCTTGTTTTGAGGTCACGTCTACTACACAATACATTTAAATCAGCATCAACGCACATTTAAAGCAGTGTTTTAGCACTTTAAACAGTCGTGGCAAAGAAGCCTAGGAACTGTTGTGGGTTAAAAGTGCTGAGAGTTGTTGGAAGACCCCTATTCTTCTCGCAGAGCTACAATTCCCAGATTGTTAAAGCGATCAGTTGGTGCAGTGGGTCAGTGCGCCTGGATATTAACCAGAAGGTTGGTGGTTCAAGACCACCCAGGAATGGCCATGAACAGGATTCCTGCATTGCAGGGGGCTGGACTAGATGACCCTCCAGGTCTCTTCCAACTCTTCAATTCTATGATCCCCAGGGAGCTCTGGGGATTGCAGCTCTCTTGAACCCACCTCATTGATGCTCTTGTTGACTCGCGCCTCCATGTCATAGCGCTCCTCATCAACCTTGCCAATCTTCTCATGGAGCTGCCGGCACATCTCCTGTGAGTTGGCAAGAAGAGGGTGTGACTGCGTCAAACGAGGCTTAAGCCAACTTGAGCCCCTCCAGATGCTGTTAGACTACAAATCCCACCCAAGGCAGCCAGGTCAGGATTAGGCTGATCCAGGGTTCGGGCGCAAAAGGAGGCTCAGACGCAACAGAGAAGAGTGTTCACTGAACATGTGGAAATCTCAGAACAAGAAAAAGAAATCTCAGTCACAAATAATTTTGTACTTTTTTAAAAAAGCCAATCAGGAGACAGATGAATGGGCAAGCACATTAATATTGCACTTTAATACCCCTCCCCCCAAATATGGGGTGGGAAGGGAAAGGCTATTAGGCTGACAGTTGACCTGGCATTTGATTTTCTGGCGCCTATGCCTGTCCTTTCGGACGGACGCGGGTGGCGCTGTGGGTTAAACCACAGAGCCTACGACTTGCCGATCAGAAGGTTGGCGGTTCGAATCCCTGTGACGGGGTGAGCTCCCGTTGCTCGGTCCCTGCTCCTGCCAACCTAGCAGTTCGAAAGCATGTTAAAGTGCAAGTAGATAAATAGGTACCGCTCCGGCAGGAAGGTAAACGGCATTTCCGTGCACTACTCTGGTTCGCCAGAAGCGGTTTAGTCATGCTGGCCACATGACCCGGAAGCTGTACGCCGGCTCCCTCGGCCAATAAAGCGAGATGAGTGCCGCAACCCCAGAGTCAGCCACGACTGTACCTAATGGTCAGGGGTCCCTTTACCTTTACCTTTATGCCTGTCCTTTCAGCTGCTGAACCAGAAGGAAACTCGGTTCACTCCACAAATGGGGAATGCGTGCTGAGTTCTCTTTTCTTATCACATCTATCTTCACCTGTTAGCATTGACCGGACTTCATCCTTGGCCCAGCCCCATCCTCCCTCCCTCCCTGGTTACCTGCAGTTCTGTGAGGCCGAGGCCTGCTAGTTCTAAAGGGGTGCAGTGGTCAGAGAGGTACCGCTCTTTCTCCTGGGCACACTCTTCTTCCTCCTTTTCCATTTCGTGCTTTGCCACCTGGAGCATCAATGCCTGAGACAAAGGAAGGACACATTGCCTGATTGAGTATCTCTAGTCTCATGCTTTTTCTCCAACACCACAAACCTGCCAGGGCCCAATCCATCTTTGTGTGTCCACTGCGCCTCCTTGCCTCTTCCAGTCTCCTGAAATCTTGTCCACTTAGATACTAGTGGAGGCTGGAAGCACACTAGATTTAGTGTGGACTCCCCTGGCCATTCAAATCTCTGCACAGAAAGTTTTCCAACATTACCTTGAGTTGTAATTTCCGAGAAGCAGTTATCTTGGATTTTCTCTGTGGTGGAACAAAAGGAAAAGATGTCTTGTGTGAGGAAAAGATGTGTGTGAGAGAAGCGAGCTTCTTAAAATTACAAGAATAACAGTTCTCACAAATAAAACAAAATATAGAAGGCATGGCAGATGAAGTTCACTCTCACTGTCAAGGCAGACAATTTAATAGGGAAGGAAAGAAACAGGAACTTGCACCTCAACAACTGGTCCGTTTTAGGCCTGGTTTATATATCCCTCAGAATTGAGAGATCCAAATCCCAAAGTGAGAACCCTGTGCAATTCGGAGGAAGGGTTTGATACTAAATAAATAAATAAATACTATCTACTCTGGCTCATGGCAGCTTGTTTGTTTGCTTATAATGGATTAGATACAGACTTCCGGACTAATGCTATTTTTGTGTGGGATTCATTCACACATACTAGCAAATTCAGGTTGCCCAATCACAGGTGACCTGGAAAGTTTTGCACAAGAAATCCACTTCCCAAAAATATCAGACTTAGTTACTGCTATAAGGAGAGGGACCAGAAAATGTAGCAGCAAGTATGGGATTAACACTTGCTTTTAGGTCCATAAATTCAGCCCCACATGCTATGTTACTGGGGATGGAAGGGTGTGTCAATTTTTGTTCTCTGAGTTTCTCATTTGCCCAAACTTAAATTCAGTTCACCACATTTCTGCAGCAATTTGTGATTTCCCCCCCTTAATAATAATAAGAATCCTCATGAAAATTCAGCAGCATTTCAGTACAGTGGAGGAGCATAGAGAGAAGAAATGCCATGGTGCAGCAGCACAACCGGATGCCTTCATCTGCCCCAGCTGCAACAAAACATGTCTCTCCTGTATCGGTCTCTACAGCCACAACCTTGCAGTGATTAGACTTCACTCCCAAAGCTACACTCCTCCATTGTCTCCCGAGACAGACAGATGCCTATCAACCAACTTTACTACAAATTTCTCCTAATAAACACATTTTGCATGTGGTTTTGACTAACATACTGGTTTTTTTTACAGGCAACTTCCCCTAGTATAATTCACTTTCATGCTATTTTCATTGATATATTCATTTTTATGTACACTTTCCCCTAATATACACAGTTTTGTAATCACTGCCTGTTTGGAGAACTGGACTGCAAAATTCAGACGGATGTGAATGTCAGATGATAGCTGCGTTTTGGCTTGCGTACTGTTTCAAGAAACTGTGAATTGGACAGATTCGCCTTTAAATGGGAACCTAATCAGATTCCTTAGGAGTCCCTAATTCTACCCTCCAGCTTTGCTTTAAAGTAGGAGCAGGCATGGCCAAACTTGGCCCTCCAGATGTTTTGGGACTACAATTCCCATGATCCCTAGCTAACAGGACCAGTGGTCAAGGATGATGGGAACTGTAGTCCCAAAACATCTGGAGGGCCAAGTTTGGCCATGCCTGAAGGATATGCCTTTAAAGGACACAGGAACTCACTTTGTCATGTGGCTCAATCGCATAGGCTCGATAGTTGGCGGAAGATTTCCTTCGGAGAGGAGGAACAGCGGCAGGCGGGGGAGGTGGGTGGGCCGGCTTGGGTGGCTGTGGCTCCTTTTTGGTCTCCACTATTGTCTCTTGTGTTTCCTCCTCGGCGTATTCTTCCTCCTCCTCTTCCTCATACTGCAAGAGTAAAGAAACCATTGCTTTCACTATGTTCATCGGCATACTGCCTTCAACAAATTCTATAGGAAGCACACGGAAGAGGGTTGGAGGAGGAATGTTACTTAAGAGGTGTCTGAGTTTTAGAGAGGATTTATTGTGGGGTTGGGGGGTGCGGAGGGAGGTGGCGTAACTCTGCTACCATTCATTCACATTCTTTGGATTCCAGGTTTATTTATTGCATTTATATCCTGCCTTTCTGCTAAGGTACAGGCTCAGCCCTGCTTTTAGCATCAGGATTTATTCCTGGAACATATGGAATCATGATTAAGAAGAGCACCACTGAACACGTGCAGAGTGCATATTCTCCAGTGTAATGTGACCACAACATGCTTAACACGTTAGCAATTAAGGAGGGAAGTTTTCAGGGCAGCGCAGGTGACTTCCCAGAAATGCCAGAACCGCTGAACATCTCTTTTCAGAAATTAAGTGCTGGTGCAACACAAAGACTTTGCAAACTGCCCAATATTTCATTTTTAAAAGTTTCTTTTATGCATTAATAAAGGATTTTGAAAAAAGCATAAAAATATCATAACCGAAAATAAAGATCAGTGTTTATTTTTCATCAGGTTTGAGAATGTTCCTTTGCTAGTACTTACTGTGATCTCTTCCCTGTGAAAGACAGAAAGGCACAGGTGAGTCAGGCTGAATAGGAGCCTCTGATTCATATATCCTGCCTTTACCCCTGGCAGGTCTTACGAGTGCTTTTTAAAGTGCACTTGTCCCTACAGCCCACCAATTTTCATCAACACTCAAAACGCACACACCACCACCCCTCCAGTTAAGAAACAAAAATGACTCACTCTTCTGCCATGGTGAGAAATCAAACTTCAAGTATTCTGGGGGAAATCAAAACAAATATATTACTATTTCCTTTATACACATGTGTACCTTCTTTACTATTAATCCGTAAGGCGCAAGCTTCCACAAGGGAGTGCAAGGGAGAAAAGGATTAGATATTTAACCCCAAGGTACTAGGGTTTAAGACTGCCTCAATGTCATGTCTTTTGACTCAGTCCCAGGTTATTAGGTTCATGATCCCTGCTCTTAGATCTGTAGCTACAAAATGACAACGCAGTGGTATGGGGAAGGTACTTTTCACATGTTCAGAGACTCTCTGCTACTACTTCATGTATTCCTGGCATTCAAAATATTTATCTCTTTAAAACAGCTCCTTGTTGGTGGGGCACTTGCCCTGCTCCGCAGGTATGTCTTTTTGTACCTGGCTGTGGTTGGTGGATCTCGGGATTCAGTTTAAAAAAAGAAGTAGATTTCACAAGCCCAGAATCTGCCCTCCCCTTGTCAGAACCATCTGGTACATAAACAGCTCCACACACAGAAAAAAGGGGTTTGTCTACAATCAAAGGAACTCTAAATGTACACTTAAAGCATCTTAAGCACACACTTAAAAATGTGTGAAGGCAGAAAAAAATGTGTATTGTCTGCAGCTCTGTCATCTCACACCTTTCAAACCTGAATTTGCCTTTTAATCCTGTATGAAATGGCCTGGAGCTGTCCAGGGGACTGAATTACCATGTGCTAAAATGTGCAAAAATGCTGAAGGGGGGCGGGTGGGAGGAAATGCAAGGTTTATATGGTGATGATCATCTTTCTCCAAAGCATGGCGTGTCAACAGGCCTTCATTGGGGAGCTCAGAATGTGCTAGAACTTGTTCTTGTTCCTGCCCACTACAGACCCTGCTTTGGCCTATATATATATATATATGCGCATATTTCTCTGAACCATGTACGAGATACACTGTTATCACTGGAGCTCTTCAGAGCAGCTAAATTTGTGCTGTCTTATCACTTCTAAAACGGGGCCAGGCCATTCCACAGGGAGGCAATGAGAAAAAAGCTGAGGCAGAGAGAGAGAGAGAACCACAAAACCAGAGCTGGATGGGAGGGGGTCAGTTCAGACACATCCCTGCCCCCCTCCATTTTGTGTGTGGCAGAGATGGTATAGGTTTTATTTTCAAAAGCGATCCCCTCAGCCAATGCAGAAAGTGCAACGTTTCTTAGAAAGGGATGGATTGGGGATTAATTCCCCACACTTGCAGAAGGGCTAATATTTGTGCCAGCCTGCCTTAAAATAAATTATTTCCCTCAGGCTCAGAAATGGGGTGGGGGAAATCTCACAGCCTTTGGAGCAAAAAACACAGAGGCAGCCATCTCTCTGCCCCCCCTACACCCCCAGAGCTGCAAAGGGACGCCTTTATTCTTAGCGCTAGGTGTGAAACCAACCATTCAGCACCCTTTCTAGAGACATCTGCTGCCAGCAACAGCCAGAAATGCAGCAGGAGGGGCCTGCCAGGCCTTCTCCCGCTTTTCTTCAAAGAGATCTCTTCTCTGTCTGTCTTCTTCTCCCTCATACAAAGAGAAATGCACTGCCAACAACTCTTTAAGACTGACCTAGGTTGACTTTAAGTCAACCCAACAGGTTCAGCTCAAATTTGAGGGGGCCTTATGCATGGGCAGGGGACGCAGGTGGCGCTGTGGGTTAAAGCCTCAGTGCCTAGGACTTGCTGATCGAAAGGTCGGCGGTTCGAATCCCTGCGGCGGGGTGCGCTCCCGCTGCTCGGTCCCAGCGCCTGCCAACCTAGCAGTTCGAAAGCACCCCCGGGTGCAAGTAGATAAATAGGGACCGCTTACTAGCGGGAAGGTAAACGGCGTTCCGTGTGCTGCGCTGGCTCGCCAGATGCAGCTTTGTCACGCTGGCCACGTGACCCGGAAGTGTCTGCGGACAGCGCTGGCTCCCGGCCTATAGAGTGAGATGAGCGCACAACCCTAGAGTCTGGCAAGACTGGCCCGTACGGGCAGGGGTACCTTTACCTTTACCTTTATGCATGGGCAGATTTACCTGACAGCAGTGAAAAGCAGTGTCTCAGGAAGGGGTCAATGGTGGGCTGTGGAGGGGCGCCAAGTTCTTGGCAGTTGCCCAGGGCAAGCGCAAGTAATTTTGCCACCTGAGGCCAAGGACAAGATGGCGACCGCCATGCCATACGCTGAAGATGACTAGAATGGTAGTTAATTCTTATTAGAGGGTGGAAAGGGGGCCCTCATACACAGCTCTGCCCTGTAACACCTTGTTACTGCTACCCCCTTGCCCTCTTACCTGAGGAGGCTGTCTCATTCTTCTACCTAATGGCTGGGCCGGATCTGCCACCCAGTATCCTAGGTCAGGAAGGATTGCCTCATCTACACCCTCTTTAAGAGGGAGCATCATTTCCTTCTCATAAGAGAATAGCCCCCGCAGATAAATTGGTAGCTTGGTTGTTGTTGTTTTTAAAGAAGAATGCATATAGTATAATTTAGGGAATTATATGTTTCTTCAGCTAGAGGGTTGGGTAGCTTACTAGTAAGTTAAAACAATACAATAGTCAAATCAATTTAAGACACAGCAAGAACAGTGGCACATCAGCAATTAGAAGAGAAACAACGACAGGATTGGAAGTTCAGGGCAATTAAGCAAACAGGGTTAGGTGCCTTCTACTGTTTAAACCTATTAAGAACCCATTTTATGGTCTTCCATTTTCAATTGTAGCTGCTTGGAGAGTTCCCCATGAAGGCAGCAATGGTGGCTGGTGCTCACTGGGGGTGGCAGGGTGGAAAGCAGGGATCCCAACTGGGGATGGAGCCCGAGGCAACGAAAGACAGGACCAACTACTACTAGTTTTGCCCCATCTTCTTCCCGACTGCCGAGTTCTGTAAGGGGCAAAACTGCAACTAAGATGGAGGAAGCTGACAGGCAGTGCCATGCCATGGGATGGTTTTAAATTAGAAAGCATGCAGTTGGGGGCTGAGTGAGGTTGTTGGGCCAGGGCTCCATTCACCCTAATGGACTCACCTGCATTAAAGAGTTTCCATAATAGCATTTGAAAGTAGTAAAGCAATACACGTTACCTTCTAAAGAGGCTCTTCTCCTGTGAGGCCATTAAGCCCATGCTCTAAAACGATATTACTACTGCACACAAAGAAAAAGAAAAACCCACAAAGCAGCTGAAGAGTATTTTGAGGTTGGGGAGGCAGCAGCGTCCCCATTCATCCTAATGGAGCAGCCTCCACAGGCAGGGAAATGGAACCAAATAACTTGCAGAGCGAGTTCTAAACTGAAGTAACTGTTCATGTGAATATGTTCTGATTTTAAAAAGGGGTCTGCTTTAGAACAGTGGATGTTTTTCGAAGAAAGGTTTTAGAATTTTTTGGGGCTCTCTGTGCCACCTGAGCTTGGTCCTTTGGGATGGGATGGGGCCAAAGAGATGAAATGAATTCTACCTGTGTTCTTGCTTCTGTGTCCTGGGAATACCTACTCAACTTGTAGTTCCTGCTGGTCTTGAAAAGTGACCCTGTAAAGAAAATAAAGCCTGTTGTGCCTAATAAGCATGCCCAAATTCTACGACTGCGACAATCCCATGGCTATGGGTTCACATCCCCACTCACTCATGAAAGATCTCTGGCTGACCTTGCACAAGTCACTCACTCTGTCTAGCCTACCTCACCGAGTTGTTGTACACCACACTGAGCTCCTTGGAGGATATAAATGCAATTCAAGTCTTCTTTGTGACAGTGTCTACCATGTGGAATTGTCTCTGCACTGAGATCAGGCAAGCACCATGGCTGTGGGGTGTGACTGCCTACTGTGATTTTTTGTTCTTCCCGATTTTGTTCCTCTTTTTAATGGATTTGGCATTTTATTTTCAGAAACCGCTTTGGTATTGCTTTTTGTAAATGAAAAGCAGTACAGAAATCTTTTAATAATGCATTAAATAAGTGAGAATAGGATTGCAGCGTTATTGTACCTTATGACAGCTGCACTGACCTTCCCATTGCCCTGTAAAGGGGGAAAACGTTTTCTCAGAAAATATTCAGGACGATTCCTTTTGTCTTCATGGAGGAAAGGAATATCTCTTTCAGTTTACACAGAATGATACCACCCTCCCTCCGCCCCGCATACACACACAGGCAAGCATGTTTTTAATTCCTCCCCACCTCCCAAACAGAACTGTCCCCCGTTTACCTGATGTCTCTGGGAACTGGACGATGCACAGATGGTGGAGAAACAGGTTTTGAGTTACTGTGCAGTCACCAAAATGGCTGGTGGCCTTTTATAAAGTAGACAGCTCAGCATCAGCAAAGCCTTTTAGGGAAGAAGGGGAACGGAATGCATTCCTCTGATAAGAAGTGGCACCAGACACTCACAGGAGAAGGGGCAGGGAAAGGGATGTCATAGTCTTTGGCAGACTGAGCCCCCAAGGAAAGGGCTGGCTCAGATTCAATCCTTCCTCCAACCTATAAACTTTGGCTTGGGAACGTCTGAACATAGGACTTGCAAAGTACCTTGCACGACCATTCACTGCTACGTGGCCCTTAGAACATTGCCCAGAACAAAATGTGGCCCTCAGGGTGAAAAAGGTTCCCCACCCCTGCTGTACACTTACAATCATTTGTGTGTGTGTGTGTGTGAAAGAGAGAGAATGCAATCCAAGCGTTAGAGATGAACATCACAAAGAGAGCTGTGTTTGGGAACAGGTTGACTGTGAGCATTTATCTAGGAGTGTGAATGACTCCTTGTGCCAAGCCTGAACTCTCCGTGAAGACGTATGCTAAACAGAGCAGCAGTTTTACCTGTGCATGAGACAATTATGGAGTTAAAGGCTGAGCAGAAATGATACACGTTTTGTTAACAGCTGCTGTGCAGCATCTTAACACTGCAAACAGTCTGGAATCTTGCACCTTTCTCCAAAAAGCTCAGGGCAGCATGTAGGAAAAGATCACCAAGAGTTCTTCGGCGTATGAAGTTGTACCATTGTGAAAGATTGCAAAAGCCGGCACTTGATTCCTTACAGCGGGCATGGTAAAATGGTCCAGTGACCCCTCTTTAAGCCTAATCTACCACACAGAATTATGGCAAGTATAAATGGTGAGGGCAACACATACAGCCCTGAGCTTCTTGGAGAAAGGTGCAGGATAAAGATATCTCAAATAAGTCTGTCCATCATGACTCATTTAGAGTGGGCTCCTCTGTTATAGTTCTGTTACTTTTGTTTAAACCAGGACCTTAAGATTTATACTGAGTTAGTAAGATTGCAACGCAGCCTGAGAATTTTGGACCAGGAAGGCTAAAGATGTTATTTAAAAAATTAATAATAATTCTGAATTGTCCATCCAGTCAGTTCCTAAGGCAACATACAATAGCAGCAATAAAATACAATAAAAGCAAAACATAATATGTCCTAAGACAAAAGAAACAAAAATACACAGAGCTAAAACTGTAAAACAAACCACAGACACGTGTAACTTTTATAAATACCTGGGCAAGCAAGGAAGTCTTGGCTCTGTCCCAAGAAGGCTATAATGTTAATGCTAGCTGAACATCTTTAGGGTGTTCCAAAGTCAGGAGCCCATCCACTGAAAGGTTCTCTCCCTCCAAGCATAATGCACTTTAGCAAGCAATGGCATTTGGAGAAGGGCCTCAGTTGAAGATCTTAATGTGTGGGCTGGAGACACACCTTTCACTATTTATTTAATGAACAGAATGCTAGCATGCCACTTACAGCAGTGTTTTCACAAAACTTTCTGCATCCAGAGAACCTTTCCAATATTGATTTACCTGCCACAGAACTCTGACATGTTGCAAAGGATTCTATGAAGTAGTTGTTGCTTTTAACCATTAAAATTAAATGAACCCCTTTGATCAATACAAAACCATTTACCAAAACATAAGGAGGGATTCTAGGGAGTATTTATAAAGGTATATAACTTAGCTGCTTACACATCACCCTGTCCAGATCTGATGAAACTTCACTGTCACTCCATGGAAAATAAGAATGCACGCTATAGAAAACACCCCAAACTGCTATGTGGCTGTGCATTGTAGGCGAAGATTGGAAGTGGCGGTGGGCAACTTGCCTTCCTGCAAAGCTCATCCATTATCCACCAGAGCAGGTCTTCTCACTGGGTAAAGGACTCCTGGATGGTTAAGTCCAGTCAAATTCAACTATGGGGTGCGGCACTCATCTCTGCTCTCAGGCTGAGGAAGCCAGTGTTTGTCCACAGACTGGTTTTCCGGGTCATGTGGCCAGCAAGACTAAACAGCTTCTGGCGCAATGGGACACCGTGATGGAAGCCAGAGCGCATGGAAACGTCGTCTTCTCACTGAGGAACCCTTAAGAAGTTTCCAGCTTCAAAACCCATCACCATTTACCATACTGGGTGGGGTTGATGGGAGCTGAACAACAGTCAGAGGACCGCAGGTTCCCACCTAGTACGAAGTGTAGGCAGAAAGAGGAACCAGAGGCACAGCGCTGCTCTCTTCTGGGTGCTGATGAGATCAAGACTGAGAGAACGCTATCTCTCTCTCTTGGTTACAACACTCTCTATGCCTATGCATAAGCTAAAGCGTGCACATATAAATTCTGCCTCCGATGAATAAAAAAATAAGTCCCCAAAGTACAACTTTGTCTGCTGCCCTCCATCCTTCACTGTCTGATTGCCTGGGAAGGATGGAGTTAATTCCACAGCCAAGTCGCAAAGCAAGTCACAATCTACAGCTGGACAGATTAACATGAGCCTGACGCGAGTGGCGCTGTGGGTTAAACCACAGAGCCTAGGACTTGCCGATCTGAAGGTCAGCGGTTCGAATCCCCGTGATGGGTTGAGCTCCCATTGCTTGGTCCCTGCTCCTGCCCACCTAGCAGTTCAAAAGCACATCAAAGTACAAGTAGATAAATAGGTACCGCTCCGGCGGGAAGGTAAACGACGTTTCCGTGTGCTGCTCTGGTTCACTAGAAGCAGCTTAGTCATGCTGGCCACATGACCTGGAAGCTGTACGCCGGCTCCTCGGCCTATAGAGCGAGATGAGCGCTGCAACCCCAGAGTCGGCCACGACTGGACCTAATGGTCAGGGGTCCCTTTACCTTTACGTGTCAATGAACTCAGTGGCACTTACTCTGAGTAAACACACCTAGAATTCTCCATGCACTTCCTTTTGAGCATGGTCCTCCACCGAGATCACACCTACCTAAGATTTGCCTACAAACCCTGAATGTCAGATTACACAGTTGTATTTGTTCTTTTTTGCCCTTTCTTGTTTGCAAAGAAACGCCAGCTCTGTCCCCTGTGCCCCACCTGCCCACCACCAGTCACTACTTTAAGGATATTTTGTTGCCTTGTTTGTGAGTAACTTAATGGGGGAGGACAGAGTTTGCCCCTCCCTCCAGGGGATCTCTGGCACCTTGGACTGGTCCCTATTACAGGATTTTCGATATATGGAAGTAGGGTGATCTCTTTAGGACAAATAAAGGTAGCACAAGCAAGCATCTTCAGTTCCCCACTTGACTCCACAACTAAGCCAGCAACAGTAAAAAAAATAAGGTGCCAGCAGACCAAAGAAACAAAGAAAAACTGAGATAGCTGTTCCCCTCAGCCAGGGAAAGTTTCACAGGCTAGGACTGTTATTTTCTGACGTTTCATCTTTAAACGCCTCCCCCCAGCCTCACAGACCTCAGCAGCAACAAAATATCGAAATTCTGATAAAGAGGACTTGTGCAAGACAACCCTTTACAATATTTTTATTATTTTTTATATCAAAAGTCCCACCAGGACACAGCAATGGGCGGAAATGAACTTTTCTGGTATTGGGGAGTCGCTGGAAACAAAACAGCTCAGCTAAGGAGCAAACGAAAGCAGGCGTCCCCGAAAGCAACCGCTGAAATGCCACTACACACATGACAACTGGCCCACCAAAAAAAACCCAAACACTGATGAGCTTCTATAGCAGCAGTGACTGTGCATGCATAATGCATCGTTTTTACTTCTTGGATTTTCCACAGCAAGGTTAAATGTAAAAAAGAAAAGAAAAGCTTGCGTGACTGAGCTGTACCGATTCCATAAGAAACTCACGTCTGAAACTAATTATTTTTCTTTTAAAAATAATGGTTATGAAGGAAACTAGTGTACAGAGGGGGGAACCTCAGGGACCGGGTGTTGTCATCTCGAGCGCAGGGAACTCATTACAGATCTCTCCAGCCTCCTGATGCCCAAGTTGGAACAAGGAGAAGGGTTTCTTGTCTGCTGCTTGGACTGGAACAAATCCTGCCTCAGCCACTTGTTTGGCTACTTGAGAGGAGAACACAGAGACCTGCTCCTTGTGGAGGTCAGGCAGGAAGCTGTGAAAAGATCAAGTGGACAGATGAGTAAGGGGTGTGGGGAACCCAGGGGTCCTGGATCCCATTAAAAACCCTGGCTAATGAGCTGCTCTGTTTAATTAGGCCCCACACCCCTCCCAAGGCAGTTCTGGCCCTTGTCTGTACCCAGCCTGCTCCATTCAGAAGGAACCAATTCACCCCACTGGATCACTCTCGGTAATTTATTTTAGTACTCCCAAATCTCCCAGTTGGCTAGCAGCCCCTATTAACACCCCCTGATGTGCACACAAACTGAAATGAATCTGACACTAGTGAAGCTGTGCTGATGTGAACAGCTAGGGAAAGATACAGTCCCAGGAAAAACTGTGACTTCCAACGTGCTCTAATGAACAAATGTGCACACATCCATAGTGGGCCAGCTTCCCAAGAGAGGATGCAGAAAATAATACTCACTTTGTCAGCTCAACAATAAGAGTGGCTTTCGGGGCTGCAATCAGATTGACATTTGGTTTTAGGACATGCACCATGCTACAAAAGACAAGCAAGGAGGAAGTGGTGACCGTAGAGATAAGAGACTGAGGACCCACCAACTTTGCTGTCCAGTCTAGTGATGGCAAACTGCCCTCTACACAATTTGGAATTAACTAAGTAATGGTGAGTTTTAACGGCATGTACTTCATTCGACAAAATGTAGGCGATTAGCTTATACCCAGTCTTTTTGCTTAGCCATCATTCTGATTTATTTGCAGGGTGATCATATTACAATGAGCATTCATCTTCATTTGTTTGTGGGGTGTTTATATGTCTTTGCATGAATCATTTGTCCACCCCACGTTTTCCAGTGCATTTCCTTGTCACTTTCCAGACTGCAAGAAGTTCATTTTTAAAAATAAAAAGTGAACTTGTAGTGCTAGGGCAACAGAGCCCTCTGATCCACCTTAAAGGCGCTAACCTCAAGTGCCAATGTGTGCTTGATCCCTTCTGCAAAGCACTGACAGACTGGAGACAGTCCACAAGATACTTCCAGACGGCTGCTATTTTCAGGTGGCAAATTCAGGTGGCGCAATTATAACTGATTGGGAGCTCTTGAGGAAGAAGCCCATTTCCCCAAAAGACAAAAAAAAATGTGATAAAGAAAGTGACAGAAGGGGAGGAGTTCGGATTTGATATCCTGCTTTATCACTACCCTAAGAAGTCTCAAAGCGGCTAACAATCTCCTTTCCTTTCCCTTCCTCCCCCACAACAAACACTCTGTGAGGTGAGTGAGGCTGAGAGGCTTCAGAGAAGTGTGACTGGCCCAAGGTCACCCAGCAGCTGCATGTGGAGGAGCGGGGACGCGAACCCGGGTCACCAGATTATGAGTCCACCGCTCTTAACCACTACACCACACTGGCTCTCAGTGTGGGATAACACTTGCTTTGATGCAACGCCACCTAACCTCGCCACAAGCAAATCAGCATGATGGCTCCATAAAGAAGAGGTCAATTGGTAGTGCCCTAAGAGAGCTGGCCTCAATGCAGAAGAAACTCCCCAAACCTGGTTGTGTGGCCTGGTCACTAACTCACAGAAATGAGTGAGTCCCATCAATGGTAAAGGGCTAATATTAGATACCTTTTGTGTGTGCACCAACAAAAGGTGCAGGCCATAGGTGGCTGGCCTGCTAAATGTTGACCAGGGATGCACAGACCCTCGCAAAAATCTTGTTTTGTGTTCTAAACTGGGAAGTACCTTTGGGGGAAATGGCACTCCATTTGCTACACAACAGCCAAGCACTATATTAGACTGCATCCAATGCTAGTTCGTCTCAACATACCTCCACTGAAATTAATGGTCACGACTAGCTTAGGTCCATTCATTTCAATGGGTTGGCTACAACCCTATGAGCTGGACAGGCTTGTATTCAAAGTGAGGGAATTATAAGCTTTGATGATGTCACCGGTCTAGATAGGCCAACCTCCTTGCAACTAGATAAACCATGTCCTGCCTCCCAACCCAATTAGCTGCTTCCTACTTCTTGGCAGGGAACCCAAGAGTCCAGACTCCTGCAATATTCTCTTCCCTGTGCCTCCAACCCAGCAGTCCCGTGCCCTCAGCCCATTCCTACCTGCAAGAGACGAATATGAGATTGAAGAGCTGTTGGTATTTGCCTTTGTGGTGGAGATCAGGCAGGCAGTTGAGAGGCAAGAAGCAGACTCTGGCATCTTCTACGGAAGGAGGGCCTGCGGCATAGGAAACGCACCGCACAGGGAAGAGAGAAAAAGCCAGGCTGAGAAACAACAGGGTCAACACAGCAGAAGGCAGGGAAAGGAGCAGATATATATTTTGCGGACAGGGAATGTGGCTAGAAACAGAGAATTTTTTTCTGCAACTCAGCAGAGAGTATAGAAATAGAGACAAGCGGTCCAAGATATTGGAGGGTAATAGTCTCAAAATGCATTTGTTATTTTGATCTATCTAGAATATCTACACACACACACACACACACACACACACACTCTTCCATTTAAAAAAAATCAGTGATGTAGAGATATGTAGGCACAAGCACATATGAACTTGCTTTATACAGTCAGGCCACTGGTCCATCTAACTCAGCACTGCCTATTCTGATGGGCAGTGGCTCTCCAAAGACTCAGATAAGTCTTCTTAGCTCAGCTATCTGATAGCCTTTCCACCGCAGATGGCCGGGACTGAATCTGGGAGTTTCTATATGCAAAACATACATTTGGCCGCCTCCTCAGAAAACAAGAAGGGTTGTGAAACTGCATACTGTAAGTCTATGGTTTAAAGTACTCCATGAGGAATTGGAAGGGGAAAGTTCTAATCCCACTGATGTTGACCCTCTTACTCCCATGTGGCCGCTCAAACTGCTCTTGCTCCAAAGAACTGGCATAGATGAGGCCTGCTGCTGGAACACCTGGAAAGGATCTCCCTCAACACTTTATGCTGTATTAATCTGTTTGCTCACCCGCTCTTCTCCCCTGGGCCTATTAATCTGATGCTGCAAGACTGCGAGGCTTTTAAGGGTCAGTGAATCGTATAAACATTCTGTAACTAGCCCTGAACTCTTGGGAAGGAGGGAAGATCAAAATCGAGTCAAGCCAACAAGCCATCACTCACTGGCGTATTGCGGAACCCTCTGGCCCAAGAGAGTAATGGAAAAGACCCTTCAAAGTCCCTTAAACCGAGAGCACTGCCTGAGCCAGTTTGTATGTCAGAGGAAACCATGTTTTGGAGAGACATGCACAGGGCAGGAACAAACCACCACAAGCCTCAGGCTCACATGCCCCCTCCCCTCTTCTACTTCAGCAGTTTTTAAAGTTTCACTTTCCCCAGAACTCAGCTGGCCAAGGCACCCAGGCGAGGGGTTGCGATTTATAACTCTGGTTTAATAAACCAGCTTAAGAAGCCATGATTCTTGCTCCAGACAACATAACAAGCCAGGATTCGGGGGGGGGGGGAGCTTTCTAAATGTCTGCTCCAAACTATCTGTGCAAATCTGTGGCCCTTTCCTGCTGATGCACGCCTGACTCGACCAAGGTTTATAGCATGATGGGCAATCAACCTGTTGACTACTCACCACCGTTAACACCCAGCTTGGAATGGTCACCAGCCCCCTGCAAGTTGCCACTAATTCCCTCCTCATCAGAGGGTGCTGATGGGTCATAGCGAGTGTTATAGCTGAGTTCATACAACAGGGCAGTGACATTGTGCAAGGAGATTTCCTGGGAACTCTGTAGAGAGAAAGAAGAAGACCGGAATCTGCTTTTATTTGAGTCCCTCTTTTCCCGTCTTTGAATTCAAGTCCCTTGAACCACATTTTATTTTTAGCTTCTCTACATCCTCCTTATGCCATACATGCTCTGCATTTTTTTTTTATAGACATGGGGTTGTCAACCTGGTCCCTACTGCCCACTAGTGGGCGTTTCAGGATTCTAGGTGGGCGGTGGGGGTTCTACGGCACAAGCTGAATCCTCCATCCATCAAGCACTGGTGGGCGGTAAGGAAATTTTACCATCAAGAAAGATGCATTAGTGGGCAGTACAGTGGTGCCTCGCAAGACGAACGCCTCGCAAAACGAAAAACTCGCAAGATGAAAGAGTTTTCCGTTTTTGAGTGGTTCTGCAAGACGAATTTCCCTATGGGCTTGCTTCGCAAGAAGAAAGCCCATAGGGAAATCTCCGGGGACCTCTTTTAAAATGCTGGCGGTCGGGAGCAAAGACTTTCGCCCACCGCCAGCCTTCAGAAGAGGTCCTGGACCTCTTCTGAAGGCCGGCGGGGGGCAAAAGTCTTTGCTCCCCCCCGCCTGCCTTCCCGGGGCAGCGGAGACTTCTCCGCTGTCCCGGGCGATCTTAAAATGCTGGCGGGCGGCAGCGAAGCCTTCGCTGCCAACCCCCAGCATTTTAAAAGCCCCCGGGACAGCGGAGACTTCTCCGCTGTCCCGGGCAATCTTAAAATGCTGGCGGGCAGCAGCGAAGGCTTCTGAAGGCTGGCGGTGGGAAGAAAAGCCCTTGTCCCCCCCCAAGCCTTCAGAAGAGGTCGGGGGACAGACTGTCCCCGGACCTGGTCTGAAGGCAGTTTCCATAGGAACGCATTGATTGATTTTCAATGCATTCCTATGGGAAACCGTGCTTCGCAAGACGAAAAACTCGCAAGAAGAAAAAACTTGCGGAACAAATTAATTTCGTCTTGCGAGGCACCACTGTAGGTATAAAAAGGTTGACTACCCCAGGAATAGACTAACAACCTCCCCTCCATGAGCAAGTTCCGGAGAAACATGCTTTGTGCAGTGCCGATTGGCCAGCATTTCTGTCAGTGACAAAGCTACTTCCCCCACTTTCTTGGAACAGTTTTCAAAGCTTATCAACTTGCTGGATTTTCCACAGAAAGGGAAAATCCAGGTTAAACAGCGCACTAAACAAACATCTAAGCAGATCAACATATACTGTGTCTGTATACGAGAAAGGGGTGGATGAACTTCTTAAGGCATGTAAAGGGTAAAGGGAACCTTGACCATTAGGTCCAGTCGTGACCGACTCTGGGTTGCGGCGCTCATCTCACTTTATTGGCCGAGGGAGCCGGTGTACAGCTTCCGGGTCATGTGGCCAGCATGACTAAGCTGCTTCTGGCGAACCAGAGCAGCGCACGGAAACGCCGTCCCTCTTAAGGCACGAGGAAGAGGCAAAAAGGGCAGTGCTCAATCGGAAGGCTGCAAAGGTATCCAACGAGGAGCGAAGGCTGAAGGAGGCAGCAGAGAAATCCATTTTCACTCCAGCTTTCAGAAAGCTATCGTCTTCTTGTTTATCAACCCTCTTCTCCTTGCAAAACCACAGTTGCTTTTCTGATGCCCGGCAAAAAGGCAGCCATACTCACCTTACTGGGGATGCCATTGGTCGTTTTCAGCAGGCTGGGATCTTCTGCCTCAATCCCAAAAATGATGTAGGGGCCTGTGGCTACGTCTCCCCAATATCCCCGTGCTGGTATTCGTTCCCCTTTCTGAGAGGCAAGAAGTCTGGATCAGTATATACGTCATTTTTGCCCACAGCTGGTAGCCCACCAGTTTAAGAGTCCTGCTGGGGAAAAGCAATTACAAAGATTTCCAGGAAGGGGGGGGCAGGATTTAAAGGGAAGAATTGGCAGGTAGAAGGGCTAGCCCCTCTTTGCCTATCCACTAATTCTCCCTTGGTTAGCTTTCCCAAACATGGAACTGGTGTTTCGCTCATAAGATGAAGTTCTGTTCTCAGCAGCGTGAGACAACTGCAGACAAGAGGTGGAAACTGTTGGGATCCCAAGAATCAACACTTCATCAGAGGATGGCTGCGGACTGCCAAAATTACGGGTGCATTTTCATCCTGCATGACAGTGCTCACAAACTGGATGGGAGAGGAAAAAGGACACAGAATCCAGGAGGACTGAAAACATGTATTTTGTGGTAGTCCTAGAAGGAAAGAACAGTCTAAAAACTGACCTACTCCCTTAGTAGGACTGCACCTGCTGCAATTAGAACCTGCATCCCAAGACCTACCTGCAACAGCAGATTAAAATAACCAAATCATTTCAAGAAATCCTGAATGGGTAGCTGCAGATGGGACACACACCTCTCTGCTTCCCATGCTATCGCAAAAGGATGACAGAAGCTATAGTGTGGCTCCCCCATGCTGCTGAGGTAACAGGAGGCAGTGCTATGCAGTGGTTAGAGCGTTGGACAGGGTATACTTGGGTTCAAATCACTGCCTAGCCATCAAACTTGCTTTGCGATTCTGAGATAGACATTCAACCCTATCTCACAGGGTTGCTGTGAAAATAAAGGGGAAAGGAGAATCATCCTGTACTGACTAGAGCTCCTTAAAGGAAGAGGGGAATTATTAAAAATGGTAATAAAAGGGGGCACAGAAGGGGTGATAACCCTGTCTAAGCATAGGCTTATATTCTCCCGCCACCCCACAAAAATAGGCCCAAGTGTAGCCAGTGTGCTGGACTCGTAACTTGCATAAGCTTCAGCTAATTTAGTCAGGGATCCTGACTAAATTTAGACAGGTCCTCCAAGTTCCTGGCCTAGCACAACCAGTCTCAAGAAAGTGAGGCGGCTCACATGTCTGAGGAGGCGGCCAGATGCCAAGGTCTTGTTGGGGATGTCGTAGGGGGCTTCCCGCATTTCAAAGGCCATGCCTGTGTCCCGCCACCGGTAAAACTCACGGAAGTTTATCACCTTGGCCTAGGAGGGGAAAGAAATGCCACAACTGTAGAAAGGCGGTAACTCCCCAGAGCCCGTCTCTGTAGCCCAGCAGCCCCAAGCTGAGCCAGATGGGTTTGTATGCCCAGCACGACTGCCTTCTTTTCAGTTACGCACCCCATGTTCATGCAGCTTCATATTAAGGTCCCAGTCGCACACCCCACGGCGAGAGTCATAGCGGGCCCCCAGGTACTGCCGGAGTCGCAGATCCCAGAGCTGCTTGATCTGGAAAGTCTGCGGGTCAGGATTCCGCCAGAACTTGAAGATGGCCTCCAGCTGGTCCCTCTCCTTGAACTGTCAAGCAAAGAGGAAAAGCGAGTGAATAACCGGAGCCGTAATTCCAGGATCCTCTGGAATAGCAGCTAACAATAACCGGAGTCCTGCTGAGCCCATCATGGCAATGACAGCACATCAATCATGGCTCCATCGCTCCTGCTGAATTAACTTGCATTTTACCTTGAGGGCAGACAAGTCAACGAGGGGCAGATGAGCTTGCTGGAAATCGGGGTCTGTGACATAGCGGATGAAGAGCTTTGCCTTCTCCTGCAGATAAGCAGCTGTTTGGCCTCGGAGCAGTGTGTTCCCCATCAGCTCCAAGAACGTCTCACTTTTCTCTTGGTTGGTGGGAGGGAAAAAGAGACAGGGCTTGTTACCATTCAGAAGACCCCAGTAAACAAGGGGCCAGAAGCCCTGGGAACCCAAGGAAGGAATGGAGATGGCGAGGGAGCATTTCATCTGCCTTCACCTTGCAGCCCCATCTTCTCTAGAGGCTCCACAGCCAGACTCAGAAACAGCAGCTGCCGACCCAGGGCTTCCAGATTGTTCTCCAGCACGTAGAACTGAGCAAAGGAGACAAACAATTAGGAGGGCAAGCTTTAGTTTAAACAGCTCTCCTCAAGATCACAGCCATACTAGACATCTAAAAGACATAACGTCCCCGTCCCCCCACAAGAATCCTGGGAACTGTAGTTGGCCCCTCATAGAGCTACAATTCCCAGCACCCTTAACAATCTGAAGTTCCATAGGTGTCCTGTGAAAATGAATCTTAAGATGCTGTCATAAATTATGAGTCGGACTATTGGACCATCTAGCCTAGTATTCTCTGACTAGCAGCCAATCTCCAGAGTCTCAAGTCAAACTACATCTTTTCTGTCCCTGCCACCTTCTGCCTGCAATGATTGTGCCCTGCTACCTGATTTTGGCAGGGGTAGGACAGGCGAGGACACTTCCTGCAAGAAATCCTAACTATCAGAGCTGCACAGAAGACAAGGAGCTGCCCTGTCTTGAATATGCTTTTCATCATTCAAGTTCTACTGTTTCCTCCATTTTCTTTCAACCCTTAAGGCTTTGTCTAATATTCCAAATGTGAGTGAAAACTTACTGAGTCAGGAAAGCCTGTCCAACAGTAACAGCAGGGCAATTTATTGGAGCCAACTAGAGCCGCCCAAAATGTCACAATGAAAATGAGGGCGCTTTCAAGTTCAAAATAACTCTCTGTCTGGCTAGCTAACCAAAACACCCTCAAGAAACAAGAAGTTTATTGTCCTGTCCTTCCTAGGCATTAGTGTATATACAGTATACATGTAATGTTACTCCTGCCAGTCCTCCAGTCTTCTGTTTGGCAGATTGTTGATTACAGTCCAGAATGGCTGGTTAAGATTTAAATCAATGGGGGCCAACGACCAGAAGGTGGCCTCTTGATAGGTGGGGAATCTCTCTGTGGCTTGTCATGAGATACCTATCAGGGTTGGAGGGTAAGGGCAGGTATGTGTGAGAGATAGAAAATGGCAGCAAACAGAACAGCAAGAGATCGCTGGGAGCTGACTGAAGAAACTTGGGAGTGCAACTTCATTCTTAGGGGATGTGATGCAGGGAAGCAGATCTGCTCCTCTGCGGGTCACTGATTGTTCTGCCCACGTATTTGTAAATAAAGGAAATTACTCAAAGGTATTATAGATCTCCAGCATGCTCTCATCCCAAGAAAACAGCAGCACTGTCCCTGGAAGCAGATTGGAATCGTCTAACACAGATAAATAGTAAGGTGTCCTGGTTCTGACTCTCCAGCTCTAACTCAATACAGTGGTACCTCGGGTTAAGTATTTAATTTATTCCGGAGGTCCATTCTTAACCTGAAACTCTTCTTAACCTGAAGCACCACTTTAGCTAATGGGGCCTCCTGCTGCCGTCTCGCCACCGGAGCACAATTTCTGTTCTCATCCTGAAGCAAAGTTCTTAACCCGAGGTACTATTTCTGGGTTAGCAGAGTCTGTAACCTGAAGCGTATGTAACCTGAAGTGTATGTAACCCGAGGTACCACTGTATAGTACATTATTCTCTCAGTAGATCTTCTCTATCCCAGCAGGCTCAACTTCCTGAATTTCCCACATCCTAGCTTGAAATGAATTGGCTCACCTTGCAAAGATTCTAGGAGTTCTTCCATCTCCCTAGCCTGCACCTCCTGGCTATCCCAAGGAACGCAAGAGTGCCAGAAAAGCTCCTAGAAATTCTGAGCCCCAAACTGAAAATATGATTCCCCCCTCCACTTTCTTTCCCAGCCCTACTCCCATTCCTTCCTCTCTCCTTGATGACAAAAAAGTCCTCTTGTTATGAAGTGACACTCCAAAATGCTGGCTGTGAGACACATTGCCGCTGATTCATCTCCTCGTGATGAAGGAAGGTCGCAAGGGGAACGTGCTGGTGAATGTTGTCTGGTAGGAGTTGCTACAGGGGAAGGGGCTGAATTGAAGCTGCTTCTGTGAATTGTCATCTCCTCCCCCCTCCCCACCTCCACGCTCTTCCTGAACTTCACACCTCCCTCACACGTGTCAGTCCATGGCCTTCGTGGGACATCTGAGCTGACCATGCTGAGCTGAGGGGCTCTCGTTGATGGGCAGCTGCCAACGCGTCCCTGCCAGGCTCCTCACATTGACAGGAATGAATTAATGTCGCCACACGTTTCTGGGAAAGGGGGCAGAGCGCCAGCATCACTTCATCACATGGGCAGCCTGAGTCACCGTTGGAAAGGGAACCCAAGAGTGCCAGCTCCTCCGACCCTGCTCAACAGAGAAACCTCTCCTTCCGCAAAGCGAAGAAAGCAAAAAGGATGGGAACTTCTTCCCAGGCCCTTTGCTTGGTTGCAGTGTCTGAGGTTGGGTTCTTTAGGGAGGCAGTTGCTGGAAGAGAGACAAGGTCCTTCCCAACAGAGATGACTCTGCCCTTCCAGGGTCAACATCAAGCATGTAACAACAACAACAACAACAACAACAACAACAACAACAACAACAACAACAAATAGCCCGCCCACTCTGGGCGGCTCCCAACAGAATATTAAAAGCACAATAAAACATCAAACATGAAAAACCTCCTTAAACAGGGCTGCCTTCAGATGTCTTCTAAAAGTCAGATAGTTCTTTATTTCCTTGACATCTGATGGGAAGGCCCTCTGCCTGGTTCCCTGTAACCTCACTTCTCACAGGGAGGGAAGAGCCAGAAGGCCCTCGGAGCTGGACCTCAGTGTCTCGGCACTCAGTCCTAGAACCACTCTGTTTGGCAGTGTAATATTCTGTGGGCGGAGCCAGCAGCAATGGATGAGAGGTGCCCCCTCCCCCAAGCTGAATCCAACCCTGGTGGTCCTGCCAGTTTTGAAATCCACTTACCCCCCCCCCAAAAAAGGTACATTTATTTATTACCCTTGATAAGTTGCCTTTCCTCCATCACAGAAACCAAGGCACAATACGCACAGGCTTCCCTGTTAGTCTCCCTGCACAGACACTAACCAGAACTTAGGCCTGCATAGCTTCAGCAAGATTGCTGCTGTATCCTCTTGTATTGCATCTCTTAGTTTGGAAGTTCTATTATTATAAAAATCTAAATCACCTTGAGAAATTTGGCAGATAAGTGGTACAGTGGTACCTTGATTTATGAACTTAATCCGTTCCAGAAGTCTGTTCTTAAACCGAAGCATTCTTAAACCAAGGCGTGCTTTCCCATAGCAGCGGGGGACTCAATTTACAAATGGAACACACTCAACAGGAAGCAAAACATGTTCTGCTTCCAAGGCAAAGTTCACAAACCAAAACACCTACTTCCGGGTTTGCAGTGTTCTTAATCCAAGTTGTTCATAAACTAAGCTGTTCTTAAACCAAGGTACCACTGTATATAAATGTAACAAATAGATACAGACATTGGATTCTGCATTTGCAGTGATGCTGCTCGTGCAGGAAATGCAGACAAGCCTGTTTTCCCACCCTACTCATAGCCCATGGAATCTGCCCCATTCTGCTGTCCTGGTATGAAACAAGCATAGATAATGAGAATTTAATTTTAAGGTTTTAAGTAAGATCTATCTAGGCAAGAGGCATGCAAAGCTTGGCTAAGCACAGGGAAGGGCTGTCCAGTTAACAGCAGCTCAAGACAACATGGAAATCTGTGGCAGGAGGCAAGTTACACACATTGATTTTCCGCCGTGGCCACCGGTGCGCCTGACTCATTGTCTTGAGGATATGACGGCCGTCTACTGATCCCACTAGCAGGATGTTCAGTTCGGGAATACCATCCTGGGACAGCTGCAGATGTTCCATAGAGGCCTCCAGACCTGTTGGGAAAGTGAAATGGCTCTACATGTTGCACAGCCATGGTAAATCCTACTTTCCTACTAGAAGTATTTTGTTTAAAAAGTGCAAAATAAACGTACAGAATTTATTAGTGTTCACTAGAACCCGGCACTGAAGTCTTGTTTTTACAAACTTTGGAATTTGCTGCAAGGAACATAGAGATGGCTGATGGGAAGGAAAACAGCTAGAAAGCTCTGCAGTTCAGTAGGGGAGCTATTTCTGTGGGTTGACATCTTTACAATCAGCCAATGCAGAGTCCATTTATATATACGTTTATTTCTACCCAATTCTATGAAGGGCTTTCAGACGTCGGACCTATCCTAGTATATTGTTCATATGCGCAAAGCTTAATTGAAAGTGACTGTGGGAACCAATCCTGTGGGGAAATCAGGGTATGAAGATAACGATGGGCTTTTTGGTTGTTAGGCAAGCTCTGCCCCCCCCCCCCAGCCTTCATTGCCCCTTTGATAAGTGACATGGTTCTGAATGCTTCAGGGACGCTGTTTGTTTTTCCATTTTTAAATGACTTCCTACACTAAACCTCTGCTGATAAGAAACAAAGCTCTGTGGGTTCATGACTGGTGCAAGGGCCAACTAACCAGAGCTGTGCAAACTCAGCTTCAGCTGCAAAAAAGAAAAATGGCTCTTCCCTGAACTTGATCCAGTGAACAAGATGATACGTGTGTCTGAAATGTGGCAATTGCACTTCTCAGAGCAGGCTCATCACTAGAATTATGCATGTCTGAAGGCACCCGAAGCAGAAGAACAAAGCTGCAAGCTATGAGGAGAGACCCTAGAAAAGTCACAGAAAGTCCAGCTAGAGTATTTTTGTCTGCCTGAACATTTTCAAATGTAACTTTACATCCAGAAATAGAGAAACTCAGCTTTTTAAAACGTTCAGATAGAAGCTGCCATTCTCAGGAGCTCAGATTCTGCACCAACTTACAACAGAATCACAGAAGGGACACCTTGGATATATTTCAGCACCGGCTGAAAGTTTTCTGTTTAAACCAAATCTCCCCAGCAGGGAAATAATACGCCTTTTGGGTAGCTGCACAGAACTGCTGTTGAAAGCCCCCAAGCAGCCGGGAAGGTGTCACTGGATTGAGAGATGCTTCTACTCTCAGAAGGCACCTGAGTCTCAATATTGAGCCTATAACAAAACAGGGTGCATTTGATCAGCTGAAGCAGTTTCAAACTCCTCACGCAACCTGTGAAATGAGAAGATCCCATTTCACAATAAAGCAGGCAAACTAAAAATAAAAATGTTGCTTAAAAAACAAAAAAAGCAGGCAAGCAAAGTTGCAGGGGTTATATTTGTGGAAGAAGTGGTACCTACATGTGGCCTGTAGGTCAAGTGCTGGAGAAAAGCCCCACCAAGATGTGGTGCCAAAACCATTGCCGCTTCCTGCTGCTGTCATGGCTGCATAGAAAGCACAAGGAAGACATAGTAAGACACACATACACACACTATTTAAGACCATCAGGATTCAGGGGGATCCTACCAGGCCTTGCTTACTCTCTCTGCTGCTCTCTCACTTTCTTTCTCAAATCCTCATACATACTTTGTCCTCCACACCCCTTCTCTTCACATATCACTGCTGCAGTTTAATTTGGAGTGATAAAGATGCCAAAGTGTGGCAGGCTAAGAGGCTAATAGACCAGGAAGTCCCTTGGATCAAATCTTGCCTTTGCCACGGCATCAACAAAATGGCATTAGGCCAGCCCCAACGCCTCCATTAATAATACTGGCCTACTTTAAGATTACGTTATGGATTACAAGAAGTATGTGCAGCACTTTGAACAATCAAAGCACTATATTGTTACCTACGCTGCCTTACAGGGCATAATGCTAATGTCATCAAACATTAAAAGCCACGCCCCCCCCCAGCCAGCCGATTGGCTGGCTGGGAGGCGTGGATGGTCGGGATTCCCCTGCTCTCGCGGGGGCTGAAACCAGCCCCCGCTCACGTGGGGAGGGCGTGATGCCCGCAACCCCACCTCTTGGGGCAGGCCCAGAAGTGGCTATATCTCATACATTCTTCTGCCCCTGCAAAATAGCCTGACCTGCTCAAAGGATGACCTTTGGAATTTTATTTCTGTCTCTTAACACCTTGGGGCCATGACAAATGTTCCAAAATGAGCGCTAAGCCTACTTTCAAAAGGCTCCCCTCTATTCCTCACCTGCTTGCCCTCCCTATATTTCACAGGATTGAGCCATGTGCTCCCAAATCTAAGCAATTCACTCCAGATGATGCATTACTGGCACAAGAAGACATACAAGAGCAGGGGGTACAGATCCGTCCTTAAGGCTACTTGGTGAGGAGCAGGGAAAAGGTAGGAAGGAATCTTAATCAAATGGAGAAGGAACTGCGCCAGGAAGCATCAAGATTAGCAGGAGGGACCGGCCTGTGATGCTGCGGAGCATTATGCCACTCAAGTAGGGTTCAGGATACTCCATGATCTGGAAGAAGGTATCAAACTCCATATGCCAGGTCCAATCCCCATCATGACTTCTGGTAAAGAAGGGATTATCCTTTCACTTTCTAACCAACTCTTTATTTGGTTCAATCCAGCAAATAAGGAAGGGGCTTAGCTAACTGAATAGGCACAATCATGGTCCAAACTGAACTCTGGCTTCCAGCATGGCATCTGGTACGTTTTATGTCCTTCTGATCTCTGCCTTTTTGTGCTTTAACCTTTGATTTTATGTAGAAGAAGTTGAGAAGATTTTTCTTGATTTAGTACTTCAGAAATTTATGTATAAATAAAAGTTAAACAAAAAACAAATCAATTCCCACACTCTCAGCTTTTGTGTTTCAAATAATGCAAGCTTCAAGGGCTAAGCTAAGGCAAGGGTGGATTACTATTGCCAAGGATCACAGATTTCGCACATGTCTGGTAAGACTCTTAATTTTTATTTAAACACCACAACTTTCTGTTCTGCATCACAAACTGTTCTTTAAACTAAGAAGCAGCTACTATGGCAGTGAAGCCATAACTGTTCAAAGATGGATGTGGAGAAGAAGCCCACTGGGCACACATGATTGTGCTGTACTGCCTTTAAAAAGTCCTGAAAGGCCCCAAATGGCCAATGAAGGGGCATATTCATAGGTCAACCCTCATTTGCAAAGCTCCTACTGAGTGATCATGCATATATTCCACAAGCCCCATTCCTGCTCCCTCTATATGACTGCACTAATTTGGACTTGAAGCAAGTTCACTTAACTCAGCATGAATGTCAACAGCTCAAATAAGCCAGCCTGCTGTGGGCTTTATTAGGTACAAACAAGGTTTGCCTGTAACAACCTAATAAACACAACTAAATTATTTATTCAGCTGAATAACTGAATAACTTTTGCATGGTTTAACCTGTTCAAGACGATCTTACAGAATTCAGCTCTCTCTTGGCAGAATCTTTATTTGGGATATGTATTTTTTTTAAAAAAAAAACAAACCCCACAGGGAATGAGCTATTGCAATTAAAAAACCACACATAAATGGATTGATAGATATTTCTCCAGAGTATAAGAATAAGAGACAATCCCTGCCTACATTCTTCTCTTCTCTACTGCTGTTACTAAACAGGTATTCAGTACCCATGTGAGACTAGGTGGGGAACCATAGCTCAGTGGTATGGTTCTGAGCTTTGCATGCAAAAGGTCCCAGGTTCAATCCCCAACATTTCTAAGTAGAGCTGGGGGAAAAGGTAAGGTAAAGGGACCCCTGACCATTAGGTCCAGTTGTGACCGACTCTGGGGTTGCAGCGCTCATCTCGCTTTATTGGCTGATGGAGCTGGCGTACAGCTTCCAGGTCATGTGGCCAGCATGACTAAGCCGCTTCTGGCGAACCATAGCAACGCACGGAAACGCTGTTCACCTCCCCGCCGGAGCAGTACCTATTTATCTACTTGCACTGTGTGCTTTCAAACTGCTAGGTTGGCAGGAGCAGGGACTGAGCAACGGGAGCTCACCCCGTTGCGGGGATTCGAACCGCTGACTTTCTGATCGGCAAGTCCTAGGCTCTGTGGTTTAACCCACAGCGCCACGAGCTGGGGAAAACTTCTGCGTAAAACCCTGGAAATCCAGTTGCAAATCATGAAGACTAGACAGACACCTGCAGCTCTCCTGCTGTTTTGTTGGACCCCCAACTCCCATCAGCCTCGGCCAGCGAGACCAAAGGTCAGAGGCGATGGGAGTCCAGCAACATTTTTATTTGGGGGCGCACTGGTTTTCCCTTCTCCTTTTTCGTATAGGGATGCATCCAGTAACTCTTTAAGCTCGCGATGACTATTGCTGCCAATCTCCAACTTACTTCACACGCAAATCCTCCTCCGCCACCGCTGGGCTTGTAGCTAAACCTCGCTCGGCCCTCGCAACCTCACTTCCCGCAAACGCAACACAAACACACCCATGGTAGCCCGATTCCCTTCGGTTCCATAAGGTTGAATTCAACCCTCTTCCCGTACATTTTTAAACTTCCCTTCCCCAAAACGGAGCCGCCGCCGCCGCCCCGCTTGGTCTCAGCCTTCCTCCCAGCCACCCCGCTCTAGAAATGCCTCCCTCTTTCCTTCGCAGCCCCGGGGAAACTACCCCGCTTTACCTGCCCTCGAGAGGTCCCGCCCCCACTCCTCGCGTTGCCGTGACGGACAAGGCCCCCGTTCAATCGGTCGTGCTGCGGTCCGGCTGGCAGCCAATGAGTGCGCGAGGGAGGGGAGGTGGCGGAGGAGACCCCGGGGCGGCCGGAGACGTTGTCTCCGTGGCAACGGGGCCTGCAGCGACGCGGGCAAAATGCCAGGCCTGCATTTTCCTGGGTTTAAGTGGAAAAACCTGCCCTGGTCTGCCTCTGCGGCTTTTAACGTTATTACCCACTTGAAGTTCCTGAGTCATTATGGTTCCTGGCTTAAGTCTTAAGTATAAAACTCCCGGGAGTGGGTTGCATATAGCAAAAGCAAATGTCTTGCAAATCAAGCTGCTGATGGCACATTGGCACAGGAGCGTGCTAGGCTGCAAAAGCGACCCTCAGTGCCAAAACAGTGGTTTAAAATATTTATTTTAGAAGACGCTATGCCGTAACAATGCCGTTGGAAACAAATACAGCACACATCAATCCTGAAATGGAACATATGTAGGATATAAACAACAATATATGGATATTGAACCATTGCTGATAATTAAACTATTTCACTGTCCTGATGGCGACAATCTGTATTAGTGGCCATAAATACTTTTTTCAAATTTTATAAGCCTCAGAAGTACAGCAATCCACTGCCTTTCCCCATGAACCTCCCAATCCCTATTCTCCAGCTCTTTGTCTTCCACTGCCATTGCCGGCACCAGTGTCTGTTCTCCATTTTGTCCACTATTGTCCACTATCACATTCCACTAGAAGCCTCATAAACATTTATTGGGTAACATATCCAGGACTGGCAAATATCCAGAAGCTGAAGCTTCTTTCATCACAGTATCTTCAAGCTAGGAAGAGCTTCACTTGTTGGAAGCATCCGGGCAGGAATTGAGCAAATGTCCAGGAAAATCCTGATGTATGGCAGCCCATGTTGTTTTTGCCGTTTCTCAAAAAAAATAGCTCAAAAATAATTTTGTCCAAAAATCTCAACAACTTTGGCCAAAAAAAAAAGAGAGAGAGAGACTTGGCGGGAGTCCAACAGTATCCAGAGAGAGCCACTCCACAGCAATGGGTTGGTCTAAACATTATCTTTGTACATTTGGCATTTTACCCATTTTATCCATCTGCCCCCACTCTCCCATCACTTGCCCATCATTTGATCCTCATGCATCCCATTTCCCCTCCTTTCCAATTCTGTTTTGTTCCTCCCTCTAATTGTCTCAAACAAATTAAATCTCCAGGAATGAAAGAGCTTTTTTATCCTTGTATCATAAAGCCCCTTTTTACTCTGGGATTGGGAGGGATTTGCTGAGGCCAAAAGATATTTAATGCAGCAGCCTGGGCGGTACGGGGTTGGCAGGTCTGTCCCTTGGGTTCCTACGCAGGCTGTTCTGGCAGGTGGCTCTAACTTGCTTTGCATGTAATTTTACTTCAGGCTGGGATTACTGTTAAATTGGGAAGTCTCTGTGCACAATAAATAACTTGACAGATTAAGTGTTCTTGCAGCCACTTTGGAAACAAAGTCTGTTGTTGCTGTGTTCCTTCTGGCAAAAGATCCAAGTCTCAGGCCCAGCAAAAAGCAGGGATGCATTTAGTCCAGTGCAACACAGGAATAACTAATGAAACCAATGAAATTAGCATACCCTCCAACATTTCTCTGATGAAAATAAGGAAGTCCTAAGAAAAAGCGCAACATTCCAGGATCAAATCAGAAAGCTTCTGTAAATCCGGGGCTGTCCATGGAAAATAAGGACACTTGGAGGGTCTGAATGAACTATTCCCAGTGCTTTTTTCCGGGGGCAGGGGCACAGGGGTACACATACTGAAGGTCCTTGAGCTTGAAAGGGGGGAATGAGGCATCTGATCAAGACCTGCATTTTAAATTGAGCTTAAAAAATATATTTGCAAATGCTTGTATGTTTCATGCCAGGTGGCAGCTGTTTATCTTCCTGTTCAAGGGCATCCCTGATTTATTGCAGGAGACACGTTTCTCAAAGTTGTAAAAGGAAATTACAGGCTAGGAGCAAAAGGTCATACTGACCATACATATTACAGAATACAATCAAGCTGCAAAAACACTAATTAAGAGTTGGTAAATAGTAAGAATTATTGTGCCTCCCATCAGACTCGAGCCACATCTTCCTAAGGTTAAAGGGCAAGAGCTAATAGGAACAGCAGCTGGCTTGAAAGGGGGGGGGTGTAAATTTAAGGGGTTGCTTTTGGAAACTGTTTTTACTAACTTCCTTTCCTTCTAAAAAGCTATATATGTTAATGTATGAAATATATTGGCTTAAATATAAGTATGCAAAGGATTTAGAAAGTAAGAAATGTTAGATTCTTATGTTAGATTCTTATTTCATTGATGGCATGTGAGAAGGTGAACCCAAGATCTCTGTATAAGATAAAATTTAAAACCATGCGCCATCTGTTTTAGCCATCTGTTTTGGAGTGAATAGGGCAATAGGGTAATAGGGCAATAGGGCAAAAGGTGAAATGTTAATTAAGGTGCCTTGTCGAGGTAAATGTAAGATATATGGCTACTTGTCTGCCATTTATGGATAGAAGGAAATATAGCTCTTTGTCTCCCATAAAAGGTAATAGGAAATGGGTGTATCTTTTATGATTGGTTCTAGAAAACAGCCAATAGGAATTTCAACCAGGCTGATTGGACAGAGGCAGCCAAAGGAGGAGCAAGGGGGCTGGGCTGAGGAAATATAAGTGCTGGCCATCAGGGCTGGAGTGGGCAGAGCTTTTGGTAACCATATACCACTGTGCCTATCATTTATTTGTCTGACAAATAAATTATTATTTTAATTTCTCTATTGCTGCGTTGAATATTTCATTCCAGCTAAGCGTTAACCACAAGCAGGGTGCTACAATACCCCTAAACATTTTGTGAATTTAAGTTTGGCCTCATTGAGGGGCAGTATTTCAATATGAGTAGGAAAATGAGAGTACCCCTACATTTTTTTTAGAAAAGAAAAAAAGCACTGGCTATTCCTCTTCTAACCTACATCAGGAGCCAGCCAGGAGTGGTGGTGGTCTGCAGGACCATTAAGCCTAGGGTCTCAGGCTCAAAAGGGACTAGACACTTGGGCATTTTCTGGCATTGGATAAGTTTCACAACTTGTTTTTATGCACATCAGACCAGAATGTGACACACACCCTCAGCTAGAAAAGTATTTGTGTGTGTGTGTGTGTGCATGCGCATGTCTGTGCTTGCATGTGACTCGCTCTATTTTGGGTGTCTTATTTTATTTTTGGGTGATGTCATTTCAATTTGTGTTATAGCTAAGGGTCTCAAAAGCTGGAGGTGGCCCGGGCTTCTTTGATAGTTTTTAATTCACTTATTTACCTGTGCGTTTAGTCGTTCAGGCAAAGAACCACCTAAAGCACGCATAAATTTCAGTAGATCAAATTGAAATGAGAAGTGGCCACTTTCCCCTCAACTACCAGTCTATGACTCTCACCTGAGTTTAATAAGGAATAATAATGACCTCTTGGCTTTAATGGAATGAAATGGCCTCTTATACAGCCTTGAGAACGCCGGCAGTAAGGGCGCTGGTGCCAACCAGAAGCAATTCTTCACAAATCATTACACAGCGGGATTTTTTGTATGTTTCTCAGTCGAGCACCCCTACCTCACTGCAGCCCAAAGCAAAGACAATGAGAAGCAACACATTTGAAATATAGAGATCTCTTCTTTATTAACAGACAAAGAGTACTGTTTGGTCAAATACATCAATATTAAAACAGGCTTCAAAAGGGGGAGCGGAGGTGACTTTCAGAGGACGGCACCACTTAAATGGGTGGTTTGGAGGACTGAAGGGGATATTAGAAACAACACGCACCAAGGTTACAAAGCCTTCTGCACTTTACACAATCCCTTCAACCGTTACAAATTACACAACCCCTCAAAACTTGGAGGTGGCCTGTTTTCATAGATGGGCATGTTGACCTGGGCACAGACATGCTCGCTGATGCCAGATTGTTGAAGATGGATGTTAGCAGGGACTTAGGAAAAGGTTATGTTGTTAGTGGAATACAGTGGGTGAGACACACACAGCACAGAACTCACTAACAGATCGACACTGGCCTTTCTAAAAGGCCATTGCTTTGTCCACTCATCAGTTATCATGGACCATGAGGAAAATAATGGAAAATGAGATGGTAGTTCAGCAGCCTGAAATGAACACCTTCTAGCATGACATATTAAACAGTATATATCCCCTTGGCCCTGCAACTGCCATCTCTTGTTGTTGACGAACAACTGAAAATAAAAGAGATGTAGGAGCAGGGTTGAAATTAAGGTGAACCTGAGGAGATCAACAGAGCAGTAAATATTCTAAACCCAAGTGGGATGGAGATGGCGGTGCAATTCCATGAACACTGCAACTACAAAAACACATTGGCTACACAACAAAATGGCCACCATGCCCCTTGGCTGGGCAACTGACCTTGGCCTAGTCTTTTTATTGGTTGGTTTTCTTTCTTTTCTTTCTTTCTTTTTTTGGTTTCATGTTTTAACTCTCTCTCCAAAGCATGGAAGGAGATTGGTTTTTGCACGTCTGCAGGAAGGTACTAGTTAAAGAGAAATAAAATCTCACTGCTTACAAATCTGGCACTGGAGCAACAGTTCTGAGATTACCCTGGGTTGCACAAATAAGTGTTAATAGGTATTTCCTGTCTTGGATGAAATGAATGTGATGCGTTTAAAAGCAGGGCCTGAAGTGCTAATACTTTACAAGAGCCTTCTTTTTAAAGACTTCAATGTACAGTGGTACTTTGAGTTACAAATGCCTCAGGTTACAAACGCTTCAGGTTACAAACTCTGGTAACCTGGAAGAGTTACCTCGAGTTGAGAGCTTTGCTTGAGTTACAAATGCCTCAGGTTACAATCGCTTCAGGTTACAAACTCCGGTAACCTGGAAGAGTTACCGGTACCTCGAGTTGAGAGCCTTGCGCCAGGATGAGAATGGAAATTGTGTGCTGGCGGCACAGCGGCAGCAAGAGGCCCCATTAGCTAAAGCACACCTCTAGTTAAGAACAGTTTCAGGTTAAGAACGGACCTCTGGAATGAATTAGGTTTGTAACTAGAGGTACCACTGTATTTGGTTGTAAAAGGGTGCTTCTGGCCGACTTTTCAATATATTCATCTTGATCTGTTTGCAGGGAGATTACACAATGCTGGCTATTTAATAAACATTCATTCTGATTGTTTGCGAAGGGGTTAGACAATGTTGCATCAAGTGTTGTCCTATAGTTCCCAGTGCATTTTCATGTCACTTTCCTTACTGCAATAAATCCAATCGTTTGGGGAATCGGTTTTGTTCCACAAGACATCCCAATCAACTATAATTGTGAAACCTGAATTTACCAGCATGTGACCAAATTCTACCCCAAAACGGTGACAGTCTGGAACTGTCTGGAATATTTTCTCTAATCTTAGAGGGAAGTCAGATTCAAATTTCACACGCAGCTCTGGGTGGTGGTGAGCCCTACATGATTTGCATTAACAGTAGAGCTAATCAAATCAAATATCTTTAATACGGTCAATGACCAGCAAGAGCTAATCAAGTTTGTTTCTTTTGGAGTGCAGATGCACAACTCCCGATGTTGTACAATCAGATGAAAAGTAACGCGAACAGTGGCTTGGAGAGTTACAAAGAGAAAGTAACTGGGGAGCTCCTAAATTCCCAAAGAATTGTGTGGACATTTTTTAGATGGTGGGCAAAGAGTTAGCAAGCTGGCCTCCTGTGCCCTTTTCCAGTCACTCTGGCAAAGGTCCAAATGGCTTGTATGCTTCTCTAGAACACCCTGTTACTCAGGAAATAAGTAATTTTGTGGACTATGGCCTGTAGACATTTGTCACTGCTCAACAGGACAGTGGCTTTCTAAGGTGGCCCAGTATTGTTACAGTATAGATGATGATGCTCTTCTTCCTCCCCTTGACTGAACATGAAATTTGTACCAATCTACAATATAAGGGAGACAACGGTGGATGACTGGGGAAGGGCCTTAGGTCTTTGGTGAGGCATCAGCTTGCATGCAGAAGATCCCAGGTACAGATCCTGGCATCTCCACATAGATCTGGAAGAGATCGTGGTCTGGAATCCCAGAGAGCCACTGTCAGTCAGCGTAGACCGGAGGTCGCCAATGTGGTATCCCTCCAGATTTTGTGCACTACAACCCTCATCATCCCTGACCATTGCCCATGCTGGCTGGGGCTGATGGGAGTTGTAGTCCAAAACATCTGGAAGGCACCACATTGGTTAGCTCTGATGTAGACAATACTGAACTAGATGGTCCAATGAGTGATCTGACTTGGCATAAAGCAGTTCCTATATTAATTGGACCTTCACAGCCAAGATGTGAGGACAACACCAGCAGGATATCTCTCTACCTCAGAGATCTTTCAGAACATCTCTTCCCCAAACAAGAAATAAGTGACTAAAATCCTTTCCCCTCCCATTTCCCTTTCTCCTGGTTGCTCTTATTTTAAAGCAGAGAGTTCAGAAACATAATACTGATTTGCTTCCCCATTTGAGGTACATTAACTTTGACTAATTTAGAGTTAGTTCTTCTGTTGCCAAGATCAGGAAGTTAAAGTCGGCCATTTTGCCGCAATTATATATTTTTTTAAAAGCATAGAGAGACTACAGAACTATAATTCTATAGTTTTATAGTATACGATATATATAGTCAGACAAATGTGCTGAGAAATCAAGAATGCTACAGCCTTTGTCCTTCTGCTGACATCATCAGCAAAAGTATGCTTATAGATAAGTCTAATAAAATGCTTGGTAACTTAGCCTAAAAATGTGTTCCTTTGAAAACTGGACCTCATCTGCAAATTGTCATTGGAAACAGATTTAGAACTCTTTCTGCTATCTAAGCTCATTTGCTTGTGAGTTCAGTGGGCGGTTCAACACTGATGTTTACTTGCAGGCACAAAACCTTTGGTAAAAGGATTATAACTGAGACCAGAAATGATGCTTTGTCAAATATTTGGGGTGGGGTGCGAGGGAAATAGAGCGTCCAAATATCAAGATCAAAAGATCTAGTCGGATGTTTTTCCTTCTTTCTTTTTTAATTCTTAGGCTTCTTTCTTTTTTATTGTGGACTTACTTGGCCTTTGACAGATGTTTTGGCCTAAGTATTTCAGTATTGCCTTCCCTTCTTATTCTGGCTCCATGCAACATGAAAGCATTAAAAAGAAGACCAAAGCACAGAGTCATGCCCAGAATTCAGATTTCAGATTTGGACAAAAGTATTTCAATTCAGAATTTCAAGCCATTGGCTTGCTGGCAATCCCATTTTTAAAATAAAAGTAAAAATCCAGCTATTAATGTACCTGCTAAACAGTTACCCAGCATATGATTAGGTCTTAAACAATAGTTTGTAGAATTGCAGAATATTTGTTATAAAACCAATTGATTTTGTATCATTGTCATAGCAAAGGTGTTGTAAACATGTTTCGATCCATGGGAAACCACTGTAAACCAGCTGTAAATCCTATAGATAAATGCTTTTTTTCTCATTTATAAAATGCATCAAACTGGTTGCTAACAAACAGTAAACCCGTTGCAGTTTTATAATAAACCAGTCTTAAGCTTGTAGCAAAAATGTAAACATGTTGTAACATAGCAAAATTATTTTAAGTTGGTTAGTAAATCACTAGTAAATCTGTAGTTAATCTGCTTTAAGTCTACATAAAGCCTATAGCAAATTTTCTCTAATACTCATATCAAACATTTCATAAATAAGTTGTAAAGCATGTGCTGTAAAACGGATACATGGTTCTGTCAAAACTGTTATAAAACTCCAAATTAAGTCAATATAAAGTAGAATAAGCTATATACGAACAGCTTAATACGTTGGCTGATGCTTAAATCTCTGTTAACATCAACATCCATAAAACTGTTGTAATTTGGGAAGGGGACACCCTATAGTAAATATATGCTAGTAAACACATCCACAGTAGTTCTCCAATGACAGCTAATTTTTATATGTCAGATAAGTATGTGAACATTTTGTAATAAAATAATTAGGATATACTACAATATGTTTTGTACATGAAGCCCACACACAGCATATTTGCAACCTTATCCCGATTAAGCTGTTTTAGGCAGTTTCAACTGCAAAGGAGGACCAAATTTGAAATATTTCTTAACACAGTGGCCAGAAATGGAAAGCTATTTTAAGCATCGTGTAGAGCCACGGTCAAGTTGCATTTTCAAACTATGTTTTAAAAGATTTCCAGTGTTTTCACCTAAGATCTAGCTTCCTAAATCAGTATTATAATGGAGTGTCCAAAAGTTAATATTATCAGAGAACAGAGTTTGCCGCAACTCTTTTGTAAATCTATTGTAAACACATTTATAGGCATTGTTTGCAATAGATTTACGTATGAGGTCTAGATTTTAAACATGGCACCAGAGTACAATACCCAAAATGTATATGAAATGGTGTCCTTTAAAGAAACCTGTAATGAACCTATAGTATACTCAGAGGTAAAAAAAGATAAACAGTAGGTTTATTTGAGGCTGGTTTCCCCAAAGATGGCATGGTTAATGTAAAGATCGCTTTGTCAAAAAGTCAGCCTGCCTGGCACATAAGGTTCAGCTTTCAAGTGAGAAACCAACCCAAAAATATAAACCTGCGCAAGTTGTGTTGTAAGCCTCATAGTAAACCTACAGTAAATCTCTAACCTGTCTTAAGCTGCTAGGTAATCTTCCTTCTTTTTTTCACACAGTGGATAAAAAACAGAGGGGTGGTTTTTTTTTCGCTCTCTTGGAGATGTTTCTTTTTTTTTCAACAGGAAATGGCTCTGAGAGAAGAGACAGGCTCACAGGCTCTCCCCCCTCCCCACACACGTGCACATTTTCAGGGGTGCCTCAACCACACACTCCCATTCGCTCTGGACGGGAGAAGCAACTGTTGCCAGATCCTTCGGCCAACAAGGAAGGGGCATCAAGAGGTCTTTATGCCAACCACCACATCCACCTCTTCTTCAGGCTGCAGGGTGTGCCACTGGGCAATGGGTCTCCGAGGATTGGCCAGCATGTCGGACCAATGGCGCAGCTCGGCCCCCGTGGCGTTGCAGCCCACAAAGATCTTCCCGATGGCTTCGTTTTTGCCCAGTTTGTCATAATCCAGGACCGTCAGAACAACCTGGACTTTCTGTGAAAGGGGGGAAACAGGCACGATCAGCAGCAGAAGAGCAATAGGCGAGCTTAACCCTCTCCCTTCCCTTCATTTCCCACCTACAACTCTTCCCATTCTTTACTCTCTCACACAGCTTGGCTTCCAGATGCATCTTTGCCAAATTGCTAGGGGAAAGCACTTGGGGAGTGGAGGTGAACAGTTTACCGGTGTATAGTGGCTGGTGGGGAAAGGATTAAGCATTCTCTGCTGAAAACTGCACCCTCTCCCCACCGCTTTGCCAAAACAATTGGGTCCTTATTATCAGAAGGAAACTTGGCAAGATTTAAGTATTTTTGACCTGGGGTGAGGTTGGGCCATCTAATTTTAATGAGGCTATGTCTTTCCACCTCCTTAAAGCCTGGAGCTTTTCAAAGGGTTGCAACTGAATTGGGGGGCGGTATCTAGAAAAGGCTGGTACATAACCCAGAACTAGCAGATTCTATCGTGATTTGAGGACTGGGTTTCTTTCTACTCACAGGAGCATATGAGGAACACCGTGATTATCAATTATTCTTTTAAGACTGAGATTGGCATAATTTGTAATAGCAAAGAAGTGTTCTGAAGATGTCGAGGGTCTTTCCAAATGTTATCATTAATCCACCCAGAGTGGGGGTGGGGGTGGGAGGATGTGCAAGTATTTTTACAGCCAGAAGGCTCAGAATGAAGAAGGATCCACAACAGCTCAGCACCCAGGCAATAACAATAGCAAGCCAGTTAGCTACCTGAACATGCAGTGGAGCAGTGACGGGAAACAGCAAACTAGTTTGCCCACCGTGTCCTGACTTGGGCCCAAACAAATACACAAACTTAGATGCAAACTAACCAGACAGAAACCCCTATGCAAAATTCAGCACTTGTGCATAAGTGTAAAAAAGTAACTTTCTGGCAAGATTGCAAAAAAATATTTGTCCACACATCTCTAGTTCAGAATTGGCTGCCTTTGGGTGAAATGGGGGTGGGGGTGGAGAGAAGGGTGGGGGGGGGTTTACCTGGATTTGTTCAAATGGCACCTCAAAACTGAACGACTCGTTGTAATAGGGATTCAGTGTGTTTTTCTTAATGGTTGTTTTCTTCTTCTTGATACGTTTCCCTCCTTGCATGAGATGGATTTTAACATAGGGGTCTGGGATAGGAGTAGAAAGATATTTCAGAATCACACAGGGGTTCCATTATGCAATGTATTGCAGAAGATCTATGTTCCCATCTCCCCCGCCGCTAATGAATTGTGATTTTGATGTCTATTGAAGGGCCGCAGCTAAGAGGTAGTAGAACATCTGTGCTTTGCATGCAGAAGGTCCATGGTTCAATTCCAGGCATCTCCAGGTATGGCTGGGAGAGAGCCCTGTTTGAAATCCTAGAGGGCGGCTGCTGATGGTAATAAGAAGAAAAGCAACAGCCCATCTAGTCCAGCACTCTGTTCTCATAGGACTCAGCTATACAGCTGCAAATAAAATGTTTAAAGTGTGTTGTAAAGTGCAATATACAAATGTGACACTAGATGGCAACAGTGAGTTATAGGCAAATTCAATATATTTTTCAAAACGTTTTTTAAAAAAGCATTTTCACAGTATTTTTAATATGTGCCTAGATTCCATACCGTGGCCACCCAGATGCCCATGGGGTCATAATGATGATTATGCTTTTTATTATTTATATGCCACCCATCTGACTGGGTTGCCCCAGCCACTCTGGGTGGTTCCCAACAAAATATTAAAAACACAATAAAACATCCAACATTAAAAACTTCCCTATGCAGGGCTGCTTTTAGATGTCTTTTAAAAGTCATTTGGTCATATAGTTGTTTATCTCCTTGACATCTGACGGGAGGGCGTTCACGCCACAGCAGACAGTAAGACATACTGAGAAGGCCTAGTTTCCTGTAACTTCAATTCTGGCAATGAGGGAACCGCCAGAAGGCCCTCTGAGCTGAACCTCAGTGTCCGGGCTGAACGACGCTCCTTCAGGTATACTGGGCAGAGGTCATTTAAGCCTTTAAAGGTCAGCACCGACACTGAATCGTGCTTGGAAATGAACTGGGAGCCGATACAGATTCTTCAGGACCAGTGCTATATGGTCTTGGCGGCCACTCCCAGTCACCAGTCTAGCTGCCGCATTTGGGATTAGTTGTAGTTTCCGAATCACCTTCAAAGATAACCCCACATAGAGTGCATTATAGTAGTCAAAGTGGGAGATAATCAGAGCATATACCACTCTGGCAAGACAATGCTCAGGCAGGCAGGGTCTCAGCCGTCGCACCATGTGGAGCTGGTAGACAGCCTCCCTGGACACAGAATTAACCTGCGTTTCCATGGACAGCTGTGAGTCCATAGCAACAGCACTCTCCTCACCTGTGACTCCCCAGCAACAGTGGAAGTTAAATATTGTCTGTCGAGGATAAGGTTATACTGAGCTGGGAGGGCCAATGCTCTAATTCGGTATACAACAACCACAACCACCAATTAGACCCACAAATATGAAAATATACTTGTAATGCACTTCAAAGAAAAAATGCATATTTAAAAAAGATTAGCAAACCATAATACCACAGCACAACCGGTTATAGATCTGCTTCAGCCATTAAGTCTTTCCCACAAATGCCCCCATTAGTCATAGAAACATAGAATCATAGCGCTAAGTCTTTAGGAAAGGTTTCCAACTAAAAGAAACCCAGGCTATGTCCTGATTCAGCTTACCACAATGGCGAGTTCTTACCTGAAAGACCCCCCACGTCCATTTTTTTCAGGTTTTTCGCTTCTAGCACAATAACTGTCAGCTTCCCAGCTGTAGGGACATACCGGAGAGAAAAGCAGATGTCTCCCAGCTTCTCGTGCTACAGAGAGGAAAATAGGGCTAGTTTAGAGCGAGGATGGAAGCATCAAGAGCCAATCTCCATATTCAAGGGGTGGGTGGGTGATTAGTTGGCAACCTCCTCCCTGCCATCCACAGGATGCCAATTCTGTAGTCAGGACTCATGTGAGTCTCCTCCTCACAGCCCCAGATGTTGAATCATACAAACTCCACATGCCAGCGAGGTGTAGCGGTTAGAGCGTGGATAAATGAGAGCACAAACTCCACCACTGGCCTAAATTACCTCACAGGTTTGCTGCAAGCAAAAAAAAACCCCGGAGAGTGCAGGAGAGCCATATGTGCTGCCTTGAACTCCTTGGTGGGATATTAATGTTAAATAAATTGGATATAAATGTAAATAAATACACAAGTAAAATCATCCCAGCTATCTGATGTCAGCTGTTTATGGAAAAGAAGAAGAAAAAGAAGAGTTTGGATTTGATATCCCGCTTTATCACTACCCTAAGGAGTCTCAAAGTGGCTAACATTCTCCTATCCCTTCCTCCCTCACAACAAACACTATGTGAGTTGAGTGGGGCTGAGAGACTTCAGAGAAGTGTGACTGGCCCAAGGTCACCCAGCAGCTGCATGTGGAGGAGTGGGGAAGCGAACCTGGTTCACCAGATTACGAGTCTTACTCGCCCTTCACCCTAAGGTCCCAGGGTGAATTGCAACAATTAAAGCACAATGTTAAAAACTGATTTAAACAATTAAAACACAATGTTAAAAACTGATTTAAACAACTCACAATCACAGAAACGAGATGGTTCCTACAAGTATCAAAAGCTGGGGTAATAAGCTGTGAGTTCAGAATTCACCGAAATAATATGTAAAGGGCCCCAACTGTGATGTTCAAACCCGCTTTCAGAGTCAGGCACTTCGGAAAGAGGGTCCACACTGATGGATCCCTACCTCTTCTTTCTCCGCCGACTGCAGGTCCCGCCACTCTTCAATGACATGGGCCAGATCCACCGTGTTCATGGGGATGCGTATCTCACCAATGGCATCGTGCTTGGAGAAGCGGTCAAAGTCATAGACGGCCATGACGAGGGTCTTGCCGCCCAGTTCCGAGTAGGGGACCTAAGGGCCAAACACACAACAGGTTGATTAAATGGCAGACGGCATCGCAAGGGTGCAGAACCTCCCACCTGAGGGTCAAATGTAACTCTCTGGACCTATCAGGCTCTCAGAACTCACAGCAGGCCCCACCCCCTCTGCTCAGGCCACACCCCCTCACAGGCTCTGCTTTTTGAGTGTTTTGGCCTGGCTGGAAGGTGTCCTTCAACTGGGGTGATGCTTCTTCCTTCCCTGGATGGAGGATTCGAAGGGAGTTATTATTAATAATAATAATAAATTTTTTTTTATTTATACCCCGCCCTCCCCAGCCAAGGCCGGGCTCAGAGCGGCTAACAAGCAATAATAAAACAAGTTGAATGATTACAACTTAAAAACAAAATTAAAATACAACATTAAAATCTTGAAACATTAAAACATTAAAATGCAGCCTCATCACAGGAGGAGAAAGGAAAAAAGAAAGAGAGGGAGGGAATCAAAATGGCTCCAAGCCAAAGGCCAGGCGGAGCAACTCTGTCTTACAGGCCCTGCGGAAAGAAATCAGATCCTGCAGGGGCCTGGTCTCATGAGGCAGCGCGTTCCACCAGGCCGGAGCCAGAGTTGAAAAGGCCCTGGCTCTGGTTGAAGCCAATCTAACTTCCTTAGGGCCCGGGACCATAGGGTGTTGCTATTTATGGACCTTGAGGCTCTCCGTGGGGCATACCGGCAGAGGCGGTCCTGTATTAGTGTCTGGGTAGGCATTGGCTACTGTCCTAAGAAAAAATTTGCATTTTGCCCCACCCACTTTTGCTTCTGGTCCCACCCACCACTGATATATGGCCCATGGTAGTTTGCCCTGAGGGGAATGTTGCGTCCCCCTGCCTCTGTGCTATTGGTCGATTCAGTGGTAAAACTGTGTGCGATAGGGTGGGGAGGGAGAAGAGGATCCGCAAAGTATGGGGAGAAGCCACTGGTAAAAAGGGAAGGCGATGGAGTAGATGGGGAAGAAATGCTCAGCCAAGCTCAGGAACTTTGGGCAAGATGGAAGAGGGAACATGCAGAGGACAACTTGCCTTAAACGTGAAGGACTCGTTGAATGTGGGGTTGAGGGTTTTGCGGTGCACTTTGGTCTCGTATTTCTTCTTCTTCTCTGGGAGCAGGAAGACTTTGACGTAAGGGTCCGAGGTGCCCCCAATGTCCAAGGCTGGCAGGTCAGCAGCTTGCAGAATGCCCACCACCAACTAGGGAAAGGTTTAAGAGGAACAGAGGTAAGCTACCTTGCCTTGGATCAGACCACTGGCCCATCCAACCCAGCTGGCAGCACTGACCATCCCTACCTGGGTGCTTTGGAAGTCATAATCAAGCGAGTACTGGAGTTTCCCCAGCTTCTCCTGGGGCTTTTCTTCCTTGGGCTCCTGCAGCAGAGATGGATCCAAATCTTCTATCTCAGGCTGGACCTGGGAGGGAGAGAGGGAAGGGTCAGAGCAGCCAACAGGGAAGTGTTAGCATCAAAGACAGAGAGCAAGCCGCACCATATATCTAAAGTACTCCATGCTCTTTCCCACCCCACAAAAGAACCCTGGGAACTGTAGTTCCCCCTCACGCTGCTAATATTCTCACTGCCCTTAAGAAACTGCATGTGTATGGTGTGGATCTGCCCAGAAATGTTGACGTATGTAACACAGCACAATCTACAATTCTTAAAACGCGCATATTGATCAGGTATATAAAATGTATTTTGCAGGCACAGAAACAAGTGCCTAATAAGGTAAAGGTAAAGGGACCCCTGACCATTAGGTCCAGTTCTGGCCGACTCTGGGGTTGCAGCGCTCATCTCTCTTTATTGGCTGAGGGAGCCGGCGTACAGCTTCCGGGTCATGTGGCCAGCATAACTAAGCCGCTTCTGGCGAACCAGAGCAGCGCACAGAAACGCCGTTTACCTTTCTGCCAGAGCGGTACCTACCGTATTTTTCGCTCTATAACACGCACCTGACCATAACACGCACATAGTTTTTAGAGGAGGAAAGCAAGAAACAAATATTCTAAACAAAACAGTGGATGTATGATTTTTGTGGTTCATGCTGTGGCCACAAACGTGATCTGATGGTGAGTTTGGGGTAGCCCAATGCAAAAATCCTGTGGATCCATGTGGATCCATGCTTTGTAACCACGTTTTTGCGCCATTGCAGCCCCATGAAACAGTGGGTGCGTGATTTTTTTGGTGCAGGCTGTAGCCATGGACATTTTATGTGATCTGATGGTGAACCTGGGGTGACCCAGTGCAAAAATCCTGAGGATCCATGTGGATCCGTGCTTTGTAACCACGTTTTAAGTAGGGAGGGAAGGAAAAGCATTCAAGGGACAAGGAGCATGCGTGGGGTGTGTAGAGAAGGATGTGGCTAATGATGCAGGCGAGCGGTTAAAGGGGAGAAGGAACACGCGTGGGGTGTGTAGAGAAGGATGTGGCTAATGATGCAGGAGAGGGATTTAAGGGGAGAAGGAACACGCGTGGGGTGGGTGGAGAAGGATGTGGCTAATGATGCAGGAGAGGGATTTAAGGGGAGAAGGAGCTCGAGTGGGGTGTGTGGAAAAGGAGCTTTTCGGCGAGCTGAGAGGGGAGGGGGGAGGGAAAGAGCACTGTTGCTTTAAAGGAGCCAACCAGACAGCAGCCACTTACAGCAGTGTAAGCAGCTCCTTTCCTCTCCCACTTTGCTCCTTCTCTCCCTCTTTGCTGCTTTACGCAGCTAATGGCGAATCCCCTGCAACCCAAGTCCTGCTCAGCGGATCAGCTGAGACGCTGGGAGAATCGTAATTTCCCTCTCTCCCTCATCCCGTGCCCTCCTGTCCCCAGCAGCCTTTTTAAAAACTTTTTTACTGGTTTTCACTGCGCTCGTGGCTCAGAGCCCTCCTGTGCCCTGCCGTCCCTCTGCAGCCTCATTGCTCCGTTTAGAGAGCGTTGCTAGCTGAGGCTGCAGCAGCTGTTGCTGGCTACGCGGCGCTTTTCCGGCTCCCTATGGCTCCCGTCTGTCCCTCCTCGCGTGTAAGCGGCTGCTGCCCGCTTTGCTGCCATGGCTCTCCTTCCCTCCCTCCCTCCCTCCTCGGCTCCTCCCCCTCCTCCTGGCTGTAAAGCAAGCAAAGCTTGCTTTGCTTGACTGACGGCAGCCATGGATCCAGTCGAGTGCATTCGCTCCTTAACACGCACAGGCATTTTCCCTTACTTTCTAGGAGCAAAAAAGTGCGTGTTTTGGAGCGAAAATTACAGTATTTATCTACTTGCACTTTGACGTGCTTTCGAACTGCTAGGTTGGCAGGAGCAGGGACCAAGCAACGGGAGCTCACCCCATCACGGGGATTCGAACCGCCGACCTTCTGATCGGCAAGTCCTAGGCTCTGTGGTTTAACCCACAGCACCACCCGTGTCCTTCTATCAAGTGCCTAATAGGCAGTGCTAAATTGATAGCAGCTTTTGTGTAGTTCCCTAGTTAACAGTCAGTTTATGTATGGATTATGGATGCATGCATGCAAGTGTGCAAGTTCAGAAATATCTTAGGAAAGCGATGACTTCCCCTGGTGCCAAGAGAGGGAAGCAGCCGCCAGCCTTGACTCACCTTGTCGATGTAGCTCTTGCCCAGTTCCTTCACCTCCTTCATGTTGATCTGGGCCTTCACTTTATCTTTGCCTTTCTTGCCTTTCTTCCTCTTGCCACAGCATTTCTTACAGGCGCAGAAGCAGCAGCAGAGAAGCAGGAGGCCGGCCACTATGAGGATGGTGGCCAAAGCCCAGGGCGGGACTGCAGAGGGGCAGAGAAGGCGGGTGAGGTTCAACAGCCTTTCTCTCTTTTTGGATGTAATATATATACAGTGCATCTTCTAAGTTCTGAAAGCATGTGAGTTAATGCAAGAATCTTGACGACAGCCCACTAAATTATCATTCCCCCACCCCCATGGCAGAAGGGGAAATAGTGGTTTGCCTTAATTACTGGAGGAGTTGAGATTTAATTGTGAAATCCTTTACTTCAGGGGTGGGGAACTTTTTCAGCCTTCCCTTCTTGAGCAACTTCTGTAAGATATTCCACTATAGTTGCTTTTGGTCCTTGAATAAAAGAATCCTAATGTTCCCTGAGCTGAAATGGAACTTACTCCCTAATAAGCATGCTTAGGATATAAGCCCAAGCTTAGTAGTGAGGCCATTTCCCTAAATCCATCCATGAGCCTTCCAAGCTCTTCCTCCACATGACAGTATCCTCGCAGGCCCTTGCAAGCCTTCCTGCTTTTGTGTCACTGTCACGTTTGGGGGGACACCTCCCATTTCCCCCTTCAGGCCTAAGCTCTGGCTTCTTTCTCCAGAGTTACCTAATTCCACAGAGCTCTGCCTGAAGAAAAATCTCTTTGTCGATTACACATCTCAAAAGGTTCCGCTGATTAGGTTAGCGAAGAATAATACAGGCACCTGGACTGTTATAATGTTATATCCACACGTGGAACAGATATAAAGTATAAAGCATCCATCTCTAGGCCATGGGGCGCTAATCAGGGCTATGTATACTTTGCATTAAAACTGTTAGCTAATATAACATCCACGCCACACCCTTTAGCTTCAGAGATTTGACCAATCCAAGCCCATATACTTTCAAGCAGAGCTTCACGAAGGGGTTAAACAAACTGGTATTTCAGTAGTACATTCTGCAAGCTTGCATTGCTCCACTTGTGTGGAATTAGAGGACACACAAAGTCTTTGCGCGTTCTCTGTGTGAAAATTAAAACCAAACCCTCATTTTAGGGCCAAGAAACGCCAGTGACTCAAATAGATTAGGCATTGTTTGTGTAATATCTCGATGCCCTTTCAAGCCCGTTTCGTCAGACCCATCCTCTGAGCCGAAATGTAAGCTCAGAAGGTCCTCAAGCTCCACCTACTTGGCAGGTCGCTCAGCTTGTTCATGAACTTGTCTTTCAAGTCAGAAAAAACGTTCTCTTTGGTGGGCATTTCGGTGGCATTGAGGGACGGCTCCATCTGGGACTCTGTCACCTCCGAGTCCACCTTGGCTGACCTCCGGGCTGCATTCATTGTGGAACCTGGAAGACGAGAGAGAGGGAGAAAAGGCTAATTTGTTAACTACTGACGATTGCTGCAAGTGTAATCAGTTAAAAACAACAACAACAACAACAACAACAACAACAACACCCTGTACAGTTTAACACCATTGACCCCATTCCCTAAGGTAGCGTTCCTTCCTCCCTTCTCAGATCCTTTATTTGTTTTCCCATCAAACCTTTGACTTGTCCCTTTATACCTTATACCTAGCTGTAAACAGGTCCAAGTTCTGGAGCTCTGCAATGCATCTGCAAGTCACAAAGTGGTTAGCTTGGTCTCAACTAGGGCCAGGGCCTTTTCAGTACTGGCCCCGACTTGGTGGAAAGCTCTGTCACAAGAGACTAGGGCCCTGTGGGACTTGACATCTTTCCGCAGGGCCTGCAAGACAGAGTTGTTCCGCCTGGCCTTTGGTTTGGACTCAGTCGGACTCTTAGGTTTCCCTCCCCTTATGGTTTTCATCTACGGGCTACTTTTAAAATGAGACTGCATTTTAAATTGCATTTTAACCTGTATTTTAAATTGTTTTTTGTCTTTCCCCCCATTATGTTTTTACTGTACAGTGGTACCTCGGGTTACATATGCTTCAGGTTACAGACGCTTCAGGTTACAGACTCTGCTAACCCAGAAATAGTACCTCGGGTTAAGAACTTTGCTTCAGGATGAGAATGGAAATCGTGCTCCAGCGGCAGCAGGAGGCCCCATTAGCTAAAGTGGTGCTTCAGGTTAAGAACACTTTCAGGTTAAGAACAGACCTCTGGAACGAATTAAGTACTTAACCCGAGGTACCACTGTAATTTTACTGGTGTTAGCCGTCCTGAGCATGGCTCTGGCCGGAGTGGGTGGGGTATAAATAATAATAATAATAACTATTATTATTATTATTATTATTATTATTATCTCTTAATAGGCCGCACTACTATCACCTAAGATTGGGGTGGATGACCTTTTTCAGCCTGAGGTCCAGGTTCTCTTCTGGGCAACCTCCCAAGGCCCAGTGATGGGCACAGCCAGAGGCAAAAGCAGGAAGTGCAAGAAACATCACCTTTGTACTACACATACATATACATTCACCCCTCCTTGCCCTCCACATAGTCAAGCAAGAAGCATTATCTGAGAAGGACAAAGTAATAATCAAGCCTCAGGCTTAAAAAGGTACCACACCCCTGGGGTACAGAAATCCACATGTTCTGGAACCCCAGGGTTTCCCAGGATTTATCACAGAATCCTGCACACACAAAGGCTCCCCATATTGCTCCAGGCATTTGCACTGTATGGATAGACAGACGGATGCAAGCTGAAGTGGGGGAATCACTCGGCACAGTCCTGTTTTTGCTGCTCATGCGTTCTCCATAACTGTGAGAAGAACATCCAAAAAACATCCATGCAAAAACTTGCCTGTTTTATCCAGGCTTTTGGCCCTTAATCTGAAAGCTTTTCAAGTATTTGTGGCCTCTTTTAGTTGCGCAGCATCTGCAAGACCTATGCTTAATTTTTAAAAAAGTTTGTATTGATTGTGTTTATTGTAATTGGCTTCAGTATTTCTTTTGCATCCTGGAAAGAAACTGGGAGCCAGCGCAGATCTTTAAGCTCTGGCAAGATGTGGTTGGCTCTACAAGTCTCTGTTAATAAGCTGGCTGCTGTATTCTGAGCTAGCTAGAGCTTCCAAATGATCTTTCAAGGCAGCCATCCAAGGCATTTGTCTTCTCTCTTGAATAAGCTTAGAAGTGTACAAGGTTATAATAATCCATTATTCATTTTTATTGTTTATTTTTCATTCATTTCCGTTTCCATCCATTCATAATTAGTTCATTCATTTGTTGCTTTTCCCAGTGATTTTGAAATTCAGTCAGTCTCCTGCTGCCTATAACTTTACTAACGGTGTCCAGGGGAGCAGTTGCATTCATCTGTTGCAGCAAAGAGTCTTGTTGCATCTGGAAGACGGACCCATTTATTCAAGTAGAAGCTTTTATGAATGAGAGTTGCGTCTGATGAAGTAGGCTGTCACTGTGAATGAAAGCTTACAGCCTAATAAATATGTTCATCTTTAAGGCATCACAAGACTGTGCTGATTTGCTCCAGAAGAACTAAAATTACCACCCCTGTGTTACCAAACTCTTTGTTGTTTTATAACTTTGCCAAAACACAAAGGAAAACCCCCAGCTTTCCTGTGAGATAAACTGAAAAGGACTTCTTTGCTCCCTTTAGCAGAGCAAAGAGAAGGGCGAGAGGAGATGTAATGAGGATGATTTACAAATACATCAGGGGGATTAATACAGTGATGAGATGGGGGGGAACTAGGTAAAATGAGCACATGGATAAAACTATAAACGGTTTCACTCACTGGCTCTCTGGTTTTCTGGATCAGTTGCCCCAGGTTTGCCTATGCAGGATTGTGTTTTGATGTGAGATATTTGGGCAGGGGTGGGCGGGTGTGAAATGCATTAGGTCATTCTGAGCTAAAGTTTCTCAGAATGCGCTTTTTGGGGGTATAATCTCTGACACACCCCTCTCTTCTTTCTCACAGCCTTAGAAAAAGAAAGCCAAAGTACTGCAGAATTTTCTCTTAATATTCTCCATGATTTATTTTGTTATATTAATGTTTTTTGGTGAGTGGGTAGGTGGCTACCACTCCCAAGTGCACAATGCCCTGAGCTTTGCTAGGTCCAGTGCACTGTGGAGGGTGGAAAATGGTGGCTACATGGTTAGCACTTGCAATAGCAGCAAAAAGAAGAAGAAGAAGAAGACTCTTGGCATGGGCAGGGCGGGGCGGGGGAGAAAAGCTGTGATATTGCCATGGCTAATTGTGAGCCTCCATCCTGAAGAAACTGGGATAATTCATCCTCTCCCTGGAAAAAAAATCACTGAAAATGTCTGTCCCCCCCCCCCATTTCTCTTCCTTCAATTTGAGAGGCCACTATGTGCAGCAGATTGTGGAAATTGACGTTATTGGTTTGTTTTTGTTCTTGTTTTCATTATATGTTTTGTGTTTTTTATCTTGCAATTTTTATGTTGTGAACCACCCTGAGATCTATGGATATAGGGGCGGTATACAAATCTTGATAATAACCATAATAATACTTTGTTTGAAAGCAGGAGCCTGGATCCTTGGGCTCTCATCCAACAGAACGGCAGTGTTGGGAAACCTTAGCCTGAGGGCTGCATTCTGGGAGGCAAAATGAAATATATATATTTGTACAGTTGGCTAGCTTCTGCACCCCCCCCTCCCACATCTCTACTCTCCAGCTAGGCAAGCATGAATCCTTATCCTATCAAGACACATCCCAGCCAGGCAAGCGGACTCGCGAGGAGAGTGCAAGCGAGGGCTGCTAAGGAGTGTGGCTTCAGAGTCCCGAGGGCCACACTGGAAGGTGTGGAGGGCCAGATCTGGCTTCCCCCTCCTTGCAAAAGGCTGTAGTGTATCTACATTGCAGAATGGGGGCGTGTTGCTTCTCCTTCACAGTCTTCTTTCTCTCAGCTTCTCTGTCACACACACACGCCCCTCACTCAAAAACAAAGATGTTCCCTTTGCTGAGAGCCATCTTGCCTCAATAAGGGTTTGGCGAGGGGAAGGAAGACGCAGCTGCCGGGGCGCACGGACTCCCGCGACAGGGAAGCCGCTGATTGGACGGGGGCATCTCCCCTGACGCTTGATGGACAGAAAGGCAACAGCTTGGCGAGGCGGGAGGGAGGGAGGGAGAGAGAGAGGGGGCGGCAGCCCCTCGGGGACTTTCCTCGTAATCAGGCAGGCAAGCAGGCACGTAACGCAGGGACGCAGCGCTGGATTTCAGGACCTTGGATAGCAGCAGCGCCCGGCGGGCCTGGACAAGTGCGCTATTGATCGCCTTAGCAGAGAGCTGCCCCTCCTCCTCTTTTAAGACACTCCATGTAGAGAACCCAGGCGTCCTGAGTGCCTGAGTCCCTGCTTTTACTACCTAGCCTTTCCAGGGGAGATCGGAGTCTGGCTCCCAGCCACTCTCCTCCCTTTTAACTCACTAGACCTCCCGCCCCGCCTCCACCGTGCAAACCACTCAAAATGGCCTTCTCCCTAGATCCCTTTAGAGTGGTAATGATTTCCACTCTAAATAATTAAGGAGGACCGAAAAGAGCTGGGTGCGGAGGACGAGAGGGAGCCCGAGGGAGCGCCCGCCTCGGATTATCATCCCCAGCGCTTGGCCACCGTCTCTCCGCACATCAGACTGACAGGCCGTTTCCCTTGGTTGGACACTCCCGTTTATCTCCTGACAAATAGGCCGGAACGGCCTCGGGATTCGAAAGCAGCAGCCGCCACCCGAATAAATGAATAAAAGAGCACAGTTCAAGCCCAACTTGCTCCTGGAGGCAGCATTTGAACTCAAGACTCGCGGTCTGCTTTAAAAACAACACCATCAACTTCCCTCCCCCATTCTGTATGTGCCTGAAAGGAAAACATGAAAGAGGCACGGAGAGAGCTGTGATTTGACTCTTCGATTGGGGGTTTTAAGCGCGCTGTTCTGATAGCCATTCACGGGGAAATTTACTGGCCTGGTTATTATGCAGAAGCTATATGTGCTTATAGTGGTTATGAGAAAGAGCTGTGAACAAGAAAGCCTGCATTTCAGACTCCAGCTCAGCCACATAGATAGATAAATGGTGATCTGCTGTTAGTATTGATTGCGGATGCTGCTTCCCACCATTTTAATAATAATAATAATAATAATAATAATAATAATAATACATCAAATGCTAGTCCTACTCAGAGTAGACCCTTTGAAGTTAATGACCTTGATTAACTTAGGAGTCTACTTTGAGTAGAACTGAATACAACTGTACAATCCTGGCTTATAGGCAGGGCTTAAAGCAGCTCCTGTTTCAGATATAATGTGTATCTGGCTTAGCAAACCTCAGGCGTGTTGCATAAAAATGTGGTGGAAAGAGCAGGGAAGGGGACCATGCAAACACAATGGTTATTCGTGGTCCAATAAACCATGGTTTATTTTACTCA